CCCCCCCCCCCCCCCCGCACCCTCCCACCTGCCGTCCACCTCCCACCCTCACCCTCCCACCTTTCCCCACCTCCCACCTCCCCTCCCCCACATCCCACTTGCCCAATTAAAGGCGAAGGGTCGAGGATCGACGACGGGTGGGAGGCGGGAGTGGGAGGTGGAGGTGGGAGATGGGAGGTGTGGGAGGAGGTTGGGTGTGTGGGAGGTGGGAGGTGGGAGGTGGNNAGGTGGGAGGGTTTTGGTTCGGTTTGTTGCGGTCCCAGATGTTGCGGTTCGGTTCGGTACGGTACGGAAGCGCGCGGTTCGATGCGATACTCGGGGAAAGATGTTACGTGTACATGTGTAGACGTGTTTACATGTGTAGTGGTATAAATGTATAGATGTACAGATGTATATACGGTTAACTGTATGTATATGCACATGTATATGTACATGTATACGTATATGCATATGTATATGTGCATGTATATGTACTTGTAGATTTATAGGGTTAAAATGCGGGTGCCCAATTTCCAGACTGAAGGTGCAAGGAAAGCTCATCAAGTGTAGCTCCTGCTTGAGGTAGTTCCCCGATGGCTCTTGTTCGATGGCATGGTTCCCAACAAGGCTTGGGCTCACCGAGCTTTTCTCACTTGACGGTTTTTGTGGCTGGCATGCCTGAGACCGAATCTGGAGACTTGTTCGTCGAGGGCGTGCCAAAGGTCAATCCTCCCTTCCAAGGCGTGCTGGCGCACTGTGTTACTGTAGATTCCCTTTTGCTGTGTCAGCGTCCATGCAAGGGTCCGTCATGCAGCAAGAAGTGTGGTAGGAACCTGGGGGAAGCAGAATGCTTGGCTAATGCTGTGTGTGCACGGGCCGTGGCATTATGCATATGCCACGGTGCAGGACCTGACTATGTGGTTGCAGCTTGTCATAATAAAATGTCCTCAGTTCGTAGATGCTGCCTGCAAATGGATTGTCCATCTTGTCCTGCAAATTCTGCAGAGCACAGCAAGAAGCCTGTGTGACAATGTTGATAGTGCAGATGCAGGATATCTGTTTGGAGATTCAAATCGCGACCTAAGGATGTTATACAGATCGACTTGTTGAAGGACTTGGAGCGGGTGATCTACTCTGGAGGATCGTCTTCGATGCGGTTATGTGCAGCTCTGCTGCAGTCGAGAACGCCGGTGCAGCCTGCAAATTCATACGTTGACTCCCACACGCGAGCATGTATCATGAGTTCATCGACGAGTGCAACCCTTGCAGATGCCAGAGTCTCCTTGTACAGCGTGCACAACAACACGTCAAGCATCTCTGGCAGATCTTGCGCTTGCACTTGAGGCACTTCTTGTGGTTGCTTTGGTGGTCTCAGCCGTTGTGGTTCGGCGCCGGCAGAGAATACGAGCATGGGAACCTTTGACAGGCCAAGCGCATTCTGAGTTTAAGGCGTAGAGCTTGTCTTCGTCCTCCGTCAGGTGACGAGCTCGAAACAGGGCTCGGCCTGACTCCGTGTGCGGACTGATGACCTCGAGCCTCAAGACTAATTTCACACCTCTGTTTTGCGCATGCACGGGAGTGAAGCTCGAGCATCTCATCTTCGAGACATATGCGCACGACGTAGACGCGATCCTTTGTGGAGAAGTGAGACTGAGCCTTCCCTCCCCGTCCGAGACCATCGCAGCATGGGCCCGGGAAAACCGCGGCGGAGAGCCTCGAGATGCTTTGTGGACAGTCGTGCCTGGGTCCGAGGTGGCACATTTACTTTTGCGCCATCCTCTGGCCGACTGCCTCAGGGCTTGTCCTCGCCTCCACTTGCCGTCTGGCTTGCGAACAAACGCAGTTGGGCAGATGGCAAAAAAAGCGCTCGTCACCCTTCTTTCTTGAAGTCTTTAGTATCTCATACTTTTCCGTGTCGTCCACTGCCGTCGATGTGGTCGTGGCTCTTGCAGCTGCAAGTGTGGCAGTCATTATCCGTGGCAATATCTGCAGCTGCAGAACTTGTTTGCGCAACGTCGCTGGCAATAATACGGTTTCCAGGTAAAGCTCCAACCACGATCTTCTTCTACGCCGTCCAGGCAGCTGAATTCAAGCCTCCACCTCCACCGAGGTGATATTCAGGCATGCATTTTGTTGCTGGCTTGATGCTTTTGGCCAGCTTTGTCTACACAAGACTGCGAATCAGAAGCAGAACGGCCATAGCACTCCGACATCCAGCATCCTCGGACTCAACCTTTTGTCTGGCTACTTCTCTCCTCGCGACTTCCCGGCTGAACAGGATTAGATTATGGGTTCAGCAACAGATGAAGGAAGGGATTGACTCGGCAAATCGGTGCGCATAGGAGCAGACCCTGCATCCTAGCATGCCATGGACGTTCTCGGACCACTGTTTCGGTTGGCTCCAGTTGGCACGGCCTGTCAGTGACGTGCCAGATCAGAGCCCCAGGGAGGCCACGGCGAGTTGACATGCAGTACACATTGTGAGGCGTCGAAGTATCCAGTTGCCATTAGAAGAGGCTGCATTGGAGTCAGAGAAATCACCTCGGATCACCGCACCGAAACTTGGAGGAAAGGGGAGGTGAATGGTCGGGCTTTCCTCGTTGATCTTCTGTCTCTCTGTCATCCCGCCATGACCAGCTACCCGCATTGCCTGCAAAATCCTGCTTTCTGCTACTCGCAGCAGCCGAGGGAGTTCTATCTGGAAATTGCAGATGATTTGCCGCCTACCCATCAGCACAAGGACACGCCTGATGCAGTTGCCGAGATCCACGCGAATTTCTGTGCATTTCAAGAGCAGTGCCTTGACTCACTTCCTTGCCACCTTCATACTACCTGCGCAGCCGAACGCGCAAACATCTTTTTACTTGGACTTGGGATGTAGACCCAGCTGTCTTCGGATGCACAGCTTAAGGAATCAGATTTTTGCTCCTGCAGCACCGGTGCCGCTGCCTGTGTTAATCGTGACCGGCTCCCTGGGAAGTGGAAAGACAACCCTGATGAAGCGGCATTTGGTCTGAAATACAGTACACTCTGCTTTTGAAGTCTCCTGTGTGGTCCGCAGTATGAGTGGGTCTCCGCAGTTGATTTGCTGCTGACCCTGGAAGGCTCATGAATCGACGGGCAAACTTGCGGATTGCAGCCTTGGCTCACGACCTGGCCTCCAAAATCAACATTGATGCCTCCTTTTTGGCCGCCGAGGTGCAGCCAGGCTGGACTGTGATGACTGTGACTGCTCATGGAAGGACTGAAACTCGGAGTGCAGGCCTCGGGAAGGGGGAGTACCTTTTCCAATCGTCAGCATGGCGGGATGGAGATGTGGCCGGCCTGTCCGGTTGCGTGCGGGGACCCGGCCGTCTTGCCAGCAATCCACAAAAGCGAGAAGGCCAATCAGTCTTGGGAAGAGTGGCAGAGCGACGAGGCATGCTGCCCTGGCTTCGATGATGCTCTGGGCTTGGCCGTGAAGACAGCTCTGCGCGAAGGCCGTCTACCGAATCGCAGCTAGCTGGAAGATGGCTTTGAAGCGGACGCTGAGGTGCAGACAGGGGCTTGTTGGACTACTTGCTGCTGGAGACCAGCGGCGCAGCGGACCCGCGCCAGATTGTGGCAGCCTTGGAGGCGCCAAAGTCGCGGGGGTCGCAAGTTCAAAAACGCCGCCGCCTTGATTGCAGGTGCGCTTCGGGCCTTTGGCGCGAGCCAGACTGGACCGGGTGGTCACCGTCGTGGATGCTTCTACGATGAAGAGATCTAAAGCTTTACTGAGCCTGGCCAGGTCAGTTCATGCCAGTTTTTCAGTTGGTAGCTTCAGAAAGGGCAATGGACCAGCTTTGGGTCACAGGCTTGTGTGCATGTCAGATCGTTGCTGCACGCTATAAAATTAATACTCCGAAGCATGCCCAAGGGTGCTCTTAGTTCCGATGTTTTCCTTATCATGCTGTGGAGTTGAGGGCTAGTGAATGCAAGCAGCACGATTGATTCCTCAGGGTGTTTCCGTTTTGTCCTGCGGGGAATGTCGTTTGGCTTGTGCTGCTAGCTATCATCCTGCAGCGCACGGAGACTTATCTCGGAACCAACCAGAGCCGTGTGCCAGTGTAGCCTCGGCACGGCCATAAACAGTGCCTCGGGCTTCAGCCACTGAAGCAGCAAGGGGAGGGCATGGAATTACTTCATACGACGGCGTCTACTCAGCTCGGATCCTGGATGTCTTCCGGATTTGAATCACAATGGAGTTATATAACGGTCTACAAGCTACATGGACGAAACAAATTAAGTGAGGGGACTGTGGGATTTCGATAGATTTCAACATTTACTTCCGTCACAGTATCATCTCGCTCAAAGCCGGCATTCGTTCAGAAACGCAAGGTGAGTGAAACCGCTTGGCTTGCAGTTATGGAGTGCCCAATGTTTGCCGTGTCAAGTGTTTCCAGATGCTACTACAACTACACTGAGGCAGAGCGGGTCCTCGCTGAGGGGCACGGTTGGTTGGACCAGAAGGCTCAGGCTGCCTGCTGGGAGAGCAGGTGCTGGCTTGTGTTTTCGGCTGCCTCCAGCGAGCGAGGAATGGAGTGTCACTGGAAAAGCAGCCATTGCGGAGGGACAGTGTAACCCAAAGCGAAACGGAAAGACCTCTCGCGAGCAGTGCGGTGGCCATGCGTGCCAGGAGGGCTTTGGTTGTCACACCCCTTACAAGCGAGCAAAAACCGAAGACAGACAGAAGTACGCAGAGAGTACTGTAACCTGAAGGTTCCTCCAAGCAAGGGGCACTGACGACTCCCGTGATGCGAAAGGTGGCCGGGGTGCAACAAACCCGTGAGAAGAGTAACGGATGCTCGAGCCAACGGGATTCAACAAAGATATGAACACAAGTAAGGTCTCAGCAGTGTGACCAATCACGACGAGACGGGGAGGGCTTTCTTATTGCTGGGCTCCTGTTCATCTCCGATCTCAACACGAATGCTGGCCGTGTATTGTTCATCAGGGATCGGGCATCGAGGACGGATCCATCCTTCCCTCATCACCAGCCGACAGAAGAATGCTCAGCAGAAGAAGAGGATCGTGTAGCTACCTAGCAGCCAAATAAGCCAGCGAAAATGTGCTCCAGTGCGTCATGCTGGCGAGTTGAATACTTGAAGATCATTCAAGGCTGGTTCGGTGTCGCTCGGATCTTGCACCCTTCGCTTGACTTGGCAGCAGGCATCGTGCCCTTCGCGCCGTCGAGAGGAGTGCCAGTTGCAGCTTGCTCAGCTCTTGGTGGCGGACGTCGTTTTACTGAACAAGGCCTGGTTGACTTTTCATGCAGCAACAGGCGCGCCGAAGTCTCCTGTCCAGGTGGACATTTGCAATGATGAGCCCAAAGCGTTGGAGCTGCTGCGCCAACTGTGCCCTCATGTGAAGGTCCGGTCTGCTACATTAAGCTAGAACATCCGCAGAAACCTAGTAGTGGTCGCAACGAGGCTCTGTCCAAGCTGAATTTCAGCCAACTACAAGTAGGACAATACACAAGGGCCAGGGAGGCGGCAGGACAGTGGATTTCAGAAAGCTTTAGCAACAAATGTTGAATCTGAGCACCTGAAGGTCTTGAGCTGTGCCTTTGGCGATGTACCGGTGCCAGAACTGCTCGATGTGGTGCCTGCCCCTCCGTCGGAGAGCACAACCGTTTCACACGAGAGCCAAAAGAGATTGTCGTGTGGACTCGTGAAGAGAGCTCTTCTTTCTATCTGTTGTCGATTGTTGCCTCTCGTCGTTTTGCCTCTGGCCCTGGCCATGACTTTAGACTTGAGGACATTCCGGCATGCTGGCAGGCTCGAAGTTTTTAAACTGCGAGTGCACCGGAAGTGGATTGGTGCATCGTGTGCGTGTGCGAGGTCTCTGCCAGCCTGGAATCTTCAAGGCAGAACCGCACACTGCCTGGAGGTTTGCCTGCGAAGTTTCATCATCGTGTAGTGGATGCTCGGCGCAGTGACTGTCATGTGCATGCGCTTTGGCACGGTCCTTCAATCTGCTCCAAGCAGTGCGAGGAATGGTCAACCCGTGGTGGGCAATCCAAACCAGTGCAGCTCACTCGGTTTCAGAGCCTGCACCTCGCCGTATTTTATTGGCGGCTCCGTCATGCGTCGCTGGCATTACATGACCTTGCTTCACGAGTGAGGCTTTGCTTGCACCTTCACCGCGTCAGACGATGGCTTCGTCGAGGGAAGGGCGTCTTGTGGGTGGCAGATCCTAGACTTTTCCTAGACATGACCGGTGGCCGGGTCCCTTAGTTATGCAGTGCATGAATGTCGCATGCCAGCCGAGGAAGATCCACATGCGAAGTGGGAATGGGAACTGAGCGGGCAACTCCGATTCAGTTGTCGGCGTGCTCCGAATGGTTTTGGCGGCGCTGCGGCTTTCAGCAGTCTCGTGCTGGGCTCGGATGGTAGTTTCTGGCGTTCGTCACTTCTGCTTTCATTAAAAATTAAAGACCGCCCCTCCCTGACCGAATGGTACTTGCATGGATGTCTGGGGTTCGAAGTACGCTTCCGTCCGCTATGGGCCCAGTACAGATCCCGGTACATGCATTGTCCGTGGAAAAATTCCACCTGAAAGACTGTACTTGGGGCTCTTCGCAGAGTACAGCACGAAGAATGTACGCATGGGTTGGGGGGACCCTCCAAGTACATGAGTTGTCGGTGGTGGTTTCTTACAAAGGACCAAACACAACAACTCATGCCGATGCCGGAGAATCCACCTGATATCTAGAGGGGCTATGGAGTGTGTGAGTGTGTGAGTGAACATGGTGTCGTCGCTCTCCATTAAACACTCAAACTCAACAAGTGAGGCCGAACTAGAAGCACCCCCCGGAAATCACCGCAGCTATAAAACTACCACGTCATAATAAGAACCTATAAAGAACACTTTCGCAGTTTCAGTTGCGGGCAGGGGTGAGGGGCCCACCCCCATTCAATATTGGGGCCGATCGCGTCAATTGAGATGTTGACCCTCTCTCTGTCCCGTCTCTCTCTCTCTCTCCCCTCCCCTCCCCTCCCCTCCCCTCGCCTCCGCTCCCCCTGCCCCTCCCTCCGCGAAGCATTTCTGTTGACAGCCGACGAAGGTGCTGATCTTTGCGGATGGTTCCTCGGCCGAAAGAGCGTGCGAGCACTTGTAACACTATGTAGCACCAGGATGCGGAAAGATTGCGCGCTTTTTTGGCACTGGGCCGAGGTGTTTCCGAAGGGGACCTTGTCGACACACGGCTTGCATTGTCCGATCTGACAGTGCCTCCGACAGAGATGGCGGTGACGGAGGAAGCATTCACCTGTGCCTGTCTTTGAGTTGCAGCTGAATGCTTGTCCGACATTGATTTCCAGATGTTGGCCGCAGTCGGGCTTGTGACCTTAATCTCTGCATCGCATCTGTAGCAGCGTGAAAAAGCATCTACCCGAAGGTTAACCACTCCCATGCATCCTACTCAACTCAAAGTGGGCAAGGCCCAAGCTCAATACTCTCGAGCGCGGGATCGGCAATCCACTGGGAGCAAGCCGAGCAACGTACCGGAACTGAGCTGCGTGTCTCAGTTCCTTCCCGTTGGGCTTGATGTTCTGGGAGGAGATTGTCTCGCAGTTGCAGCCAGACTTCGAGATGCTTGAAAGCACGGACCAGCCCGACGGCTGCGTGCGCTTCCGCCTGACAGGCAACGATGTGCCACTCAGACTCAGTCCGTGAATTCACATGGGACTCAGTCGGCATTTGCGAGGCCATAGCTTTTTCAACATCAGCAAGGACTTGGATATCTCGGAGCCGCCTTATCGCCTTTTGGCCGGAATGTGCTTATGATGTCGTCAGAGATCCCTCAGTGACTCAGCGATTTGAAGGCATCGACCTCGACGCTTTGAATCGAGATCTTGCACAAATTGTGAATGCCGAGAAGGGCGCCATTTTCTTGGCCACAGGACCTGTTCCGATCTGTGGACTCCCTGGTTTTCCTTAGCCAGCTGATGCCAGCTAGAAGCTATCTATAGATGCTCTCGCAGTTGGCAGCGCTCAGCGCTCATGGCGGGTTTGAGCTGCGCTGGAGGAGAGGGCCTCTGCCGTGTGGCTCGGTGGCAAGCAGGTCGCCCAAGGAGCCTCCGGGAAAAGGAGGCTTTAAGCCGGGAGCCTGTCAGTCACAACTACTGGTAGGCAGCCTTGGCTTGTTTGCTGAACAACAACAACAACAGCAGCAACAGCAACAGCAATGTAGCAAGATAATGCAAGACCGGATTTGAATAAGGGCTGTCAGACTGTCGGCATGCGGGCAGTCCTGAGGAAAGAGGTCGAAGAGTTCTCGCCCTGCTGTGGCCCCTGGGTTGTTTGGCGCAAGAAGGTGCAACGCTCAGCTTCGATCCAGAGTGCCCTGCTGGCTTCAGGGCTGCAGAGCCGAAAACGGGATGCCTGAGGGCCTGTGGGACTCCACGTGAATTCCTCCAAATCGTGCCTGCCGCATCCGGATCGATTGGATGCAGGTGTGCCATCGCCTCCTTCACCGCTGCCAGCGGTCCTTGCAGCTGCACGGGCGGAAGCTCCTACGCTGTTGCAGCGGTGCCTCTGAAGCACTGACATTCAAGTGACATCTGTGCTGGCTGTGGGCAGAGGATGCGCGAGCTCACTCATCAGCAGATGATGCCGCTTTGAACTAAGGTATTTCGGTCATGTGGCAAGTTGTCAGTGCGGCCAATGAGTTGCAAAACAGGGTCGTCTGCGACGGAAGTAACCCTCTGAGCCCCAGCATATTCCAGCATCGTGTTTTGTGGTGCCAGCTGCCGGACAATAAGATGCAGATGTCCAGAGGCAGGGTGTTTCGTGTTGACTATGCAGGTGGTCGGTGGCACCGTGAGATGGCAAACACGATGCAGCTTCATCCAAAGCAGATCGGGCAGCGCTCTCACGCAGTGAATGCAGCGGATTGAGAATCCGAGAACTTCGTGTTTGGAAGATTTGTGTCACGTACCGACTGCTGTCAACGACAGCGGCTTCACGGCTACACTCCGCGATTGGCTCGTCGTTTGACCACTGCTAGAGGGCTCAATCGCATTTGCAGAACGGGGCGTATGCTGTAGGGATTTGTAGGGCCAACTCTCGGCTCGACATGCCACGCGACATGAACAAGAAACTGGGCAGAGAGAGCGGGCAGTTTTTTGTTGGCTTGGCCGTGCTGCTATGGCAGAGACTGGCCGACGTGCGGCTCGAAGGCTGTCGCTTCAGGCACCATCTTCCCTCTCGACGTCAAGCATCTTGCAACAAAGAATATTTGCCCTTGCAGGTGGAGCTGATGGCCAACTCGTCTTGCTCCTGAAATGCAAGACGTTTGCTCAGGGAAACTCTTGGCTTTCTAAGAGTGAAGCTTTACACTCAGGCAATGAGGAACGGCGGCCGAGCTTCCTCCGCAAGACTATGGCAACGGCGATCCGAGGCAACGAGGCGCTTCAGGGGCGATGGTAAAAGCGCATCGCCGCACCTGCGAGTGGTTGGTCAGCTAGGCCCAGAAGAAGTGGAAGGCGCTGCGGCAGGGAGCCGCAAGCTCGAATGACGTGGAGGACTCTTTGAATCACAACTTCGGGGCTGTGGGGATGCGGCAGGATGCGGGTGAGTCTCGGGAATTTAGAGGAGTCCGAGCCCGAGGCAGAGCCTCTAGGGCAGTGCCTTCCGAACAAGCTGTCCGACTCCCGGGCGGCCGGATTTCACCTCGAGCCAACTTAAATGCAGATCGTGCAGACAAGGTCTTTATCGCTGGGAGATTCTGCAGATGCGACACCCCGACGTAGCTTTAGGACAACTTCATCCGCTGATTCTTTGGCTGAATCCGGGATTTGTTTGGAGAGCGTTTCGTGCCAGGGCGACCACTCAGTGCGAAAGTGTGGTAGTCGGACCAATTATCGAGGGCTTTGAATACTTAGGTCTTCGACGGTCCTGGCAAAGACCTTCTATCCGACGTGCCGCTCTTCAGGGATTGCACGGACCGGTTCCTTCAGGCGAGCCCAAAGTTATGCAAAGCCTTGAGCTGTTGTGACGTGATTGTTTGCCAGCGGCCCAGCCGGGTTGTTGCTGCAAGGCCTTGTCCGACCAAGTCCACACCCGCCTGGTGCAGCCCGGAACGGACATCTACCTTGAAGGCGAACGAGGTGCTCCTGTCAGACACACATGTTGTAGTCGGATCAACCCTCTGCTTGTTGGGGCCAGGCAACTCAGTAGCTGGGATCGTAAAGTTGACGACGGAGCCGGTACCCGCACCCTGATTGAGGCGACAGCTTGTTCTATCTCTGCAGGGGCGAGGTGGAAGTCCTGCACGGCGAGGAGGTTCAATCCACACACAAGGCTCACAGGGATCCAAATTGAAATGGGCCGGTCTCAGGGTGTGGTTGAAGCACCTGAGAGGATGGTGCAGTCTTCGGGGAAATGGCGGCTGCCAGCAAGCATCCGGCTGTGGTGGGCCCAGCTTTGTGGAGGCTGATGGAGGTTGTGATTGTACTCATAACGAGTGGCATCATCTGCCCCAAGTTGACGACGCGATCAGCGACGGTGAGGGCAACGGCTCTCTGCGATGTCAAGGTTCTTCAAAGAGACGACTTGCTGCAGGCTCGGCCCCTCTGGCAAGCAGACGGGCGCACGCCCACAACCCATCTCAGACCGTGGGCAGGTCTTGAACCACTTCAGAGAAGATGCACCTGGGCCGTTTTGGAGGTAGATCATGCCAGCGTGCAGGCAATGCAAAGCACAGCAACACAGAGATACACCGGTATCACCAGGGCATCAAACACGATGCTCATGATGATCCCATATATTATGTATGCCTTTCTGTGTGCCGAAAGGCTGGAAGGTGCCCATTTGCAATATTTTTCTTCGTTGTCTGTGTAATAAGTAATAAGCATGACATCTCCTGCAGTTGGCATTCTGCAGCTGCAGCTGCAGGGAGTGTATGACGATGTTGAATTTGGCCCCCTCCATTCGTGGCACCGTGGCCACCAGCCCACTTCCTTTCCAGGCGAAGCGCATTCATGAGAAGGTCGAGCGCCACGTGGAAGAGCTCCGCGAGAAGGGGGAGCTCCCCGCAAGGAAGGTGCTTCTGCGGCAATTCGTACTTTCCTCATTCCTGCATCAATGCAAGAGCAGCCAGGAGGTGTTGCAAACAACGATTGCCGGTACATAACTGTAACTTATAACTTGGGAGGTGTGACTTTGGGCTTGTTAGAAGAAAAAGTTGTTCACTGTCACCCTTTTCCCCGGTTGATGTAGAGTGCGAAAGGAGTGGTGGCGAATGGACACGAGACGCTTTCTTGAAATCTGGTCTGAGAGAGCCTTGGCTTCCGGTGTGCATCAGCCGACAAGGACGGTCATCTGTTGCCTCGGTTGCTTCGGCGACGTCGGAGGGATGCAAACCTCAGAATCCTCAGAATGCATGGACCAGGGCTTTCTCAGGCTCGAGATGCCAGTCACGTGCTTCTTGTCACTGCCGTATAGCCGGCTTTACCCTGCTTCCCTTTCCAGGCATGAAGCTGGCAAGGCGACTGTCACATATTGCGCCAACGCGGCCGCATGCCTACACCATGGCGATGTCTGCCATGACTGGCCTTACTGGTTTGACCAGCAAAGCAGTGCATGGCTTGCCACATCGGGGCCGCCGAATGAGCAAGTCCCTCAGCATTCGCTGTCAGGCAGTGTTTGTCATGGCCGACATGTCCGAAGCGAGGGTTCCCCGCTCAAAGGTGACCACATGGGCCCCCCCCGTAGAGCTGGTTGCAAAAGCTCGAAATCTGTCAGACCTATAGTAGCAACTGCAGCTTCTAGAGATGTTGGATAACGCGGGTCTGTGGTTCAAAAAAGTTAAGACATAGCCAGCACGGGGACTTTGTGTCCCGTCGTTTGATTTGCAGCTGCAGTTGCATCAAGCGGCCAACATGGCATGATCGCTTCAGCTTGAACTGTTGATGTCGCTGCCCTTGTAGTTGTCATCATGATATGCTCTGGCCTCCCACCTATACGCAGTGCACACATCTCAGCTTCTAAGCCTGTAGCTCCTACCAGATCTAAGGCGATGGTGCTCTGTTCGTGCGTCAGCACGAGAGGCAAGCCTCGAAATCCAGCAACTTGACCGACACCCCGTACACGCCAAAATCCACTGTGACCAGTTGGACACTGTCATTTCTGGCGCATCTGAGGTGTTGCAAGCTTGACGTCCATACGTGAGGGCCAAGTTGATCCTGACAGTAACAAGGAGAACGAAGGCTGCCGCACGTTTTTGACAACGGGGTGTCACTGCTCTGCTGCTTCCTGCTCTTACTGTAGTGTAGTGTATCAGTGCAGGTGTCTTACGCGCCTTCTGCGGCACCTCTTGAGGTTCCAGCTCATCAACTTCCTCGTCCAGTAGCGGCAGCAACGAGCCCGATATGCCCGATTGGGCTATGTTAGAGGATGACGCAAGTTCACGAAGGCGGAGCAGTGCAGAAAGCCTTGACTCCGAGGTTCACGAGGCCGATACAAGCAATCATCTTCTTTACATGCCCTGCTTTTTGTTGCAACGGGTGCTTCAGAGGGTCGGTGGAGAGTGTTGTGCAAAATGCAAGTGTTGTGACGCTCTCGATGTGATCGCTTGTTGCATTCTTTTTTTGCCAAAGCCGCAGAATGTGCGCGCGTGTGTGAGTGCCTCGGCCAGCGGCACTACATATAGCACACTGATTCAAAGCTTGCAACCTTGCAAAACTCCCCAACACAAGCCAACACACTCAAGAGTCAAGAGCAACTTCCAGTTGCTATTTTCGTGTTTTGACTCAACTACGAGGCGCAACCTCTCCATGTTTGCCTAAGCCAAAAGCTCGGCTCCACATGAATGTGGCTGCTCTTCAACATACAAAATATGCCTTTGTAAAGCGATTTTGCCTGATGTGTCGACGTGTTCGTCCATGTTTGAACCATGTCGGACTGCAGGTCAGCCCTTCGATTCAAGTCCTGGATCCATGTGAAAGTGAGCAAGTTTCCAGCGTGCTTGGCTGCAATGTCGTGGCATACCGACGGAGCCAGACTTGGTCGGTGCACTGAAATGTATTTAGAGATGCCAAGGAAGCGATCCCCCAGAAGACAGCAAGGCTGAGCAAGTGCGAAGAGACATGGCTGGTCTGGGGATAATCGTGGAGATGGCACGCCCGGAGTCGGACTCTCTCTGTGTTGCATTCAGGACTCTCTTTGCTCCTAGATATCTGGTCTCCGAAGCTTGCAGAAGCGGCAGACTCAGGTGGGCTTAGGAAGTTGGGACATTCAGACCTGAGCTTGGCAGTGGCAGGCGAGCTTGTTGCGACGTTGAAGATTCAGGAGCTGTCGAGGTGAGCCCAGAGCGAGAATTCTTCTGTCTTTCTGCCTTTGAGGACTCGAGACCGCCACCGCTGCCATCCCTGGAACGTGCAGCCAGTGCAGCCAGACCCGGGTCCACGCCACGGATGCCACGGCGACCTCAAAGCCAGGACTGGAGACTTGAGATGCTTCCTCCAGAGTCAATGCAGAGACTTTGCAGAGCCAGGAGTCCATGATTCTCACTGCGAAGCTGCCGCGCCCACAAACCGATCACAGGCCGAAGCGCAGGCAGACGATGTATCAGCCATCCATCTCTGCGTTGTTTTCTCCGAGCAGTTTCGTCGCCTCGAAGCTCTGGTGGACTCCAGCCCCTGCATTCATGCAACTGTGGATTTCCCCATAAACGGAACGCAGGTTGCCCTTCCAATACCTCTGATGCCCCTACCTGCTGATCTGTCAGCGAAAGCGGTGCTTCCGACTCAGAGGAGTTCTTCGGCTGTGCTTGGGAGGATGGGGAGGAACCCTTACGGGCGATGTACATGGAAGTGAAGGTTGCACTCAACTTGCTCGACGCTTGGCACTCAACGACCACGAACGACAAACCAACAATTTTTATCATCAGAATTATGGCATTTGCCGCGAAGATCCACCCGAACATGTTCCACGCGAAAGACTTGGAACACCGTGCCACCGAATAGTGGACTGAAGACGAGAGAAGAATGCGTCGTCCAGAAAAACGACACACCCTCTCTGCTTTGTGCCATTTGGCAGCACGTGTCTTCTTGTCGCCGTTGCTGCTGCTGTTGCTACTGCTCAGTTGTTGCTGCTGCTCCTGCTGTTGCTGCTGCTCCTGCTGCTCGTGCTGCTTCTGCTCCTGCTCCTGCTCCTGCTCCTGCTGCTGCCGCTGCTGCTGTTGCTGCTGCTCAGTTGTTGCTGCTGCTGCTCCTCCTGCTGCTGCTGCTTCTGCTCCTGCTCCTGCCCCTGCTGCGGGCTGCTGTTGTTGTTGTTGCTGCTGCTGCTGTTGTTGCTGTTGCTGTTGTCGCTGCTGCCTTGCGGAGTGCTGTGGAGGCTTCCTAGCCTTCGCGAGCAGCGGCAAAGAGCCGTCAACCTGCACCCGTTCAACCAAGGACCGTCCTTATTCTGCCAATGTGCACGCGTTCGAACACCTAAAGCGAGGCAATATAGATTAGGGAAATGTAGAGCTTCATGACCTGTGATGCCAAGTGAAATCGGCAGGAGGCCTGGTGGCTGGATCTGTTCATGAAGCCACGCGGAGGGGCTTGGCTCTGGCCAACCAGGCAGCTCTACGAGTCTGCCGCCAGGACGTGCACGTCAAAGGGCGTAGACTGCTGTGATGGCAGAATGTAGAACGAGCTGACTAGAGAATGGTTGAGACAGCGGCCTCTGAAGCAGGAGCCCATCAACGACGTAGCTTCCAGGCACCAGCAGGCGCGAAGAAAGCAGGCAAGGGGCAGCACCTTGGCCTATTCTGTGCTATTGAGCCGTCGAAGCCTTGGTTCCGGAGCATGCTGGAGCTGTGACTCGTGCCTGTAAGGTGACACCAGGCATACTGCCTGCTCCAAGTTGCGTCAGCCCCATGCAAGGATGCCAGGATTGAAGGCCCTGAAGGGACCCAAGGCCAGGGTCCCGCCTGGAGGGCCGGGGAGTGACGCCATCATCAGCCTTTGACAGGTCTGGGCGTCGCCAGAGTTGACCACACCATACCCTACGACATTATGGCAAGACTTCCAAGCTCTTCGGGCACAAGATGCAAACTGCACACTCAGCGTGTGCGCTTAGTCCTTTTTGCTAAAGCGGACATTTAATTTCAAGTTTTAATCTCGAGATGGCAGCTACTCGGCATAATTCGTGCCACGAGTTGTCAAGCACCTCTTCTTTAAAGTCAGGGAGAGATGAGTGAACTTTCTTGTCCTACGACATCGGAACCCGAATGGGGTGGAAGCGAGATCTCAGCAGAGTGTCCGCCGGATGATCTGCCCTGGCCTCGCAGCTGCTTGCTGTGCAAAAGTGCCTGTTGCAAGGTGGGCTGAATCCTGTCAGAAGCCAGCCCGCGTCAGCTACTATGGCTCCTGTGCAGTAATTTATCGGTCACTTGGGGTCCTGACACTGGTACTCGTAGGGGATCATGGTGAATGGTTTTGTTGTGTCCTATGCCAAAAAGCTAAAGTTTCTGGTGCTGCCATGGGCCAGACCTGCCCCGACCTGAGAGGTTCGTCAGGGCCAGAGCGGCCCTGTGAACATGCATTGCCAGGCTGCGTAGCCGAGACGCCTCGCGACGAGGAGCACATCCCAAGACGAGAGCGCACAGCTCTGTTCGTGAGCTTCCTAGATTCCTAGATGAGCTGGCAGGATGCATCAGCTGTACAGCCGAGCGCTACGGATTATCAATCAGTCTTGCCGCTTGGCATTGATTGCTCTTTGACTCTTTGACTTACCTAGGCTTCTCCGCTCTTGTGCAAGCGGATCGCTCGCATTCCGAGCCTTTTCACGGTCTCCACGCAACAACGAATTCAACATCGCCCGTGCATGAGCAAGCACACCATCGCATCAGAGAGGTTCGCCCAGGCTGCCGAGTCGGAGAGGGGACGGGCGCTGACAGCCCCCTAGCTCAAGAAGAAGAACCCGCGAAAGAGCGCGACAGAGAGAGAGAGAGAGAGAGAGAGACTTCTGGGCCGACATGCCTGACAGACAGTTGCCGTAGCGCGAGAGCGCAGAGGGGTAGGGGCTTCCCCTATTCCTCAAACGGCGGGCAAGCAAGCAAGCAAGACTTCTGGGCCGGGGAGCCTGACCAGCTCCCTTAACCCGAAGGAAGAAGAAGAGACTTCAGTAGCCATTTTGGCTCAAGTCAACCTGCCGCTCCTTCGGGGGCGCTCAGGGACGGCCCTTGGGGGGTGCTGGTTGTCCCCAGTGCTTCCCTTGGGTGGACGTTCCCTTGAGAGGGCGGGGGCTTGAGTCCAACGTCCGCCGCCGTGTGGTTGCAGTGGCCCGCGAAAAGGTCCGTAGCCCGAGCCATAAAGGTGAACGGCAAGTCCGTGACTCTACAACTCTGTGGGGGACCAGGGGCACTGCAAGATCTTCGTTCGGTTCCTTCTTGCGGGGGAGATCACAGTCCTCTACATCGAGGACTCCCTGGATTGTGCCATTAAGCCGACCTGGCAGAACTTGCGCACTGGGTGGGGGAGATCAAGACCTCAGAGTCCGTGATATTCCTGCCGGGCGACATCGTGATGACTGCCTATGTGGATGGGGATGATGGGGGGGCACGGTGCAAGCTTTGCAGGTACAGCGATGCAACGTGCAGCGTTGGGGTTACCTCGCAAGCAAACGTGCCCATCGCACGTGCAAAAAAGCAGTCGGGGGAGGCTGCCGCGAGCAGCCGTGCAAGCTCGCTCCGCCCCTTGTCAGAGATGACTTTCTTTGAGACGAGGAGGGGGCTGATGCTCCTTTACAACCCAGAACCGGGGACGAGTGGATCAACAAGACTATCGTAAAACCCCGGGGGGATTAAAAGACACTTCGACGGGAGAAGCGTTCAGCAAAAAGCAGACAAAGGCATATGAAAGTTACCTGCGGCGACACCATGTTCGAAACAAGGTGGGGAAGAGAGCGGATGAGTTAGTCCGCATCGTGGACAAATATTTGCCACTTCAGGCCGACGAGACACGAGCCTATGTTTGCCGTTTCCTGAGCAAGCGGAGCCCCTTTTGAAGCGAGTCAAGAAAATACGCAGGCGACTCCGAGCCAGCAGTGGGGCAGACCGTGGTTCTACAACACAGCCCTCGTCTACAACCGCGGGGAAGACAGCCAAGAAAAGAAAGGGGGGAGAAAAGAACCCAGAGGTGAAGACCGAGGTGAAAGCCGAGACTTTGGACGAGCACGCAGTGGGCCTAATGGGGGAGCATGTGGAAAAGGACAGAAGCCGACTTGCTGACCAGCGTGTGAAAAAGGATCACGCCACCGAAGACATCCCACCTGACTGGGGGGGAAGCTCCGACGAGAATGTGCAAGAAGCTGGAGGCGAACAACAATGGCCATGGGGGAATGCTGGGAGACCCTTTGATCGGGGATCCTTGCGGAACGACCTAATGAACCGAAGGGGGATCCACCCTCCCGACGAGATCCCAGTGCTGAACATGGAGGAGGGAGACGCGCCCAACTGACGCCTAGCCCAATGTGGATGGATGTGCGACGTGTGCAAGCACACATGGCCAAGGCGCGAAGAGAGAGAACACCGAGCAGCTGACGGGGGACAAACATGTTGCCTGCAGTTTTTGCACCCGGGGGAGCTCGATGCTTCATGGTATCCGTGGCGGCCTTGCAGGCAGACCTGAGTACCGTCTGAGGGGGAACTTGAGTTTTAGGTGTGAACTGTTTTAGGCTCGTCAGCCACCCTTCGTTCAACCTGTACAATGGGACGCAGCGCCCTTAATCCTTGCCTCTTTTCAACTCACCTTGTAGCTCAACCGGTTCCGGCCAACTAATTTGGGGGATCTCGCGGGGCCCAATTAAATTTCGTTCCGCTCCGTGATACTATCCAAGTCCTGCTCGTACGTAGCAGGGGGAGACTGCATGTTTTTGCCTCGCAAAACCCGACTTTGAATCCCTCAGCTGATGACGTGGTCCCCGCCTTAGTATTCTTTATGCTTCTACTGCACTGCTGATGGCTTTGTTTTCTCTAATCAGCTGGGGGATTCTGTCTGCTTCAGCGGCCATACGCTGTAAAGCCGAGCCTGGGGGGGCAAACCCCCCAACCAGGATATTACGTACCCTGCCGTGGACCGCAGGGGCGCGTGCGCGCGGGGGGGGTTGCACTGGACCGTGCTTCCCCTCTTGCCTGGTAGAGAGAGAGAGAGAGAGAGAGACTTCAGCCTGTGGGACGGAAACAGAATCCTCAAAAGTCACGGCGGCAACAGCACACATGGCCTAAGGCGAGAGAAGAAGAGCGCGCAAGAGCGAGCGAGAGATCTGGATGGCAACCCCATGCCACTTTTGGCCAGCCTGGATTCTCTTCGTAAAGAATCACGTCTTCAGCCGTCATTGATGCCAGGGCTGAGGTGAAGCTGTGGAGTTTGCTGCGAGCCTTAACCTTGTCATGCATTGCTGCATTGCGCGTGTCGTGGGGTTCGTGTAGGATCCTGTATAGGGATGCCAGGGACGTAGTGCCATGATGTTGGAGTAAGAGCTTGAACCTGCAAAAGATGCGCCGCCTCGTAGGCCTGACGGTGATCCTCAGTCGACCTGCGTCACTGCCGAGGACTCCCGAAACTAAGGAGATGAGAGCAGACCCGAGCCTGTCAACCGGGGTGTGCTAACAGTCAACACGCAACGCGCTGCAGAGCGGCAAATGCCAGGACGTTCCGAGACTTTTGGACGCCCCTCGCAGGGCCATTGTGGCCACGGCCGCTGCAGTCTGGCTCTTATCCATTTTGCAGTGCTACGTAGATCATGGTGCAGAGGTTTGATCTGTTGCGGCCGTAGTTCCAGCTTGACTCTGCCTTACTGAGGCGGACCTGTGCAATGGTAAGGATCCTGCAGGCTGCTTGAAAGCGTTTCGTCCAGAAACCAAAGGGGTTGGACCTAGAGGTCATGGTACAGCCTGGTACTGTACAGTGGATGTAGTTGTGGGCAAAAAAGCAAGAGTATGCGCATGCAACACTCTAGCTGGATCTCTGACGAGGCACCAGCTGTTTCATATGGTTCTGTTGCATATGGTTCGCTTGACCGTCATGCATGCATGTGAGGCGAATGCAGCGACCGCCATGCATGCTGTTTGTAATCTCGATCAGGACAAACTGGACCAAAGAAGATGGTGATGTTGCTGCAGGATGCTCTGACTTGCAACTTTCCCAGACTTGTTCCGCAGATTAGATGTTCGGGGTTTCCCAAAGTTCGCCGGCAGAAAGCAATCAAAAGTGATGCTCTCCGTGCTGAAGAACGCGTTACCTGTGTCCGAAACAGAGCACTTGCCGGCAAACTTTCGACAGCCGCCAGACCTCGAACCCGGGCAGGAAGCGGAGCACCTCGTTGATGGAGGTCTGGATGAGTGGCTTCGGGACTGGTGCACAGACGAGGCCAAGACATTCCGCACTTTGCCACCTAATTATTAATTGCATGCCGTCCATGTTTGCGTCGCAGGTACTCCGCATGTTCCTGGGTGCCTCCTCCAAGGACTGCGGCAGACATGCACCTGATGTCATTCGGCAAACAAGAGAAAAGCCTTTCTGAGATCGGCAGCTAGACTACAGGAGTCGGCAGTGAAATCTTTGGCGGCCGCTTTGAACTGGAGACGGCGATACAAGGATGTCCTGACTGGCCTGCGGACACCATGCTGGCAGGCCCTGTAGGTTGCCCCACATTGACCGACCCATCGAAGTTCTTGAACGAGAGGGTGACATGCGCGTTGTGGCGCGGGGAGTGTCCGGACATCCAGTGACCTTGGACTGCTTGTTGCGTGTCTGCTGACACCGCCAGAGTGACTGTTTCTGCGTCTTGCTTTGGAGCCAAGGATCTTTATGTCCATGCACCATCAGCCGTCAAAGTCGAACAGTCGCTCGTCCACAGTGTGTAGAGAGGCGACAAGCCGAGCTCTTGAAAGACTTCTCTTGTCCGACCGATCTGATGCCAGTCCTAGGCATCAGCACAGCTGAGCGCTTGGATTGCAGATTTATGGGCCATGGACTGGCTTTAACAGGTGTGGAAAGATGAGCCTGTAGCTGGCCATAGCTGAGGCACCTGGCTGTGGTGCTGGAGGCCGCGGTCTGCTCAGCGAAAGGAACCCCGCGAAGCTTCGATGTGGTGCCTCATCTGGAACGAGTCACACAGGCCACCAAGCAAGACTTACTGTAGTAGAGAACCCGTTCTCCAAGGTTTGTGATTGCCGTGGGTTCCAGCTTTCCAAAAATCTAGATCCTCGACCTGCAGTTTCGGCGATGGAGGCCAAGTGAAACGATGTGGATTTGCTCATCCTGCTGTTCCCACAACCATCGTCCCCCCGAGTCTTCGAAGCTACGCGTTTGCGAATGCACTGTTCCTTTTCTGCCCCCCTGACTAGATGCTGAAGCATGCGTACCGTGGACGGATGCGTCGGGCATTCTTGGTTGGAGCTCCAGCGGCGTTCGGTGGCTTTTGGAAGCTCTTGAAAGGGTGGCCTGGATTTTGTGAAAGGGGCAGGACGTGGGGAAGCTGCCGTCAACGCACACTAACACTGCTGCCCGGCAAGTGCATCCAAGGCTGCTGCCAAAGCCGACCCAGGACACACTGCACTGTATCATGGCCAATCATGGCATTGCAGACCTGCACTTTCGGTCTGTATTTCCGGGCGAAAGACCTTTTGCGAGCAGTGGTTTACAGCTTGTTCAAACTTACGCATCGCAAGGCAGGAAGCGAGGATTGTGTCTTCGATGGTCTGGGTCACACGCAGGATCGCCAATGTCAGTTGTAATCCGAATTGCCGGTAAGTTTACGACATGCTTGGCTAGATTAAGAAGAGCCGCCAATTGCCGTGACCGGAAGCGTGCAATGGAGCCATCTTCAACCTTCTGCTCGACGCAGTGTTCGTCGCAGCCCCCTTCTCCTGAGCGGCAGAGGCATTACCACGACATGCCATGCGTGCTGCCACGCCGTGCAGCTATGACATGGCATGCTCAAGACGCGAGGTCACATTGCCAGCCTCAAAGTGAGGATGGAGATTCTTGTGCGATCTGCCAAAGCACCTCGGCCTGAACCTGCACCAAATCGTGCAACACTCGGCTGGTGCTTTGGGAACACGGCTAGGTGCCTTGGGAAAGCGACATCTCAACCCGCGACACCACTGTCGACTCTGTTGCCGGCCGGTAGGGACTCTGAGTTGCTACAGGCTGCGGCGTTGTCGCCTTGCTCTGCTCTGCGCTGTTCTGTGGAGCCACCGAGGTTTGTGCATCCTGCTCCTGGCTGAGTCGATTTCAAGTCTCATGCATGCTCCTTGGGGTCCTTAGTCCTTTGCTGACACAGACTCGAGGTTCGCCCTGTCGCGTGCCTGTGTCCGGCCACAAGGGGGTGCAGAGGTCCTGCTTGCAGTGTGCTGCGACTGCCTCGAGAGCGTACCTCGGCTTTACATGTAGGTTTCCGTTGCAAGTACAGGCTATAGGACAACGAGAATCTGTGCTAGGGCCGATTTGCCAATGTCCAAAATACAGCAAAAAGGTCGGCGATGACCCAGCAGCTCTCCTTCCTGTCGCGGCAGCTCTCAGATCTCGCTGGTAGGAGCCGTCGGACTTGTGCGAACAGCGAGTGGTTTGGACCGGCAGGCTTTCATGAATCTTTCGGTACACTGCTTGCCGCGGCGCAGGCCAACTGCTGATGTGGCACCTGTAACACTGGAGGCATGCAAGCATCCTGCAATATTTCAATATCGCGTGGCTTGTAGATCGGCTTCAATTTCCAGGATGCACTCAGCAGCTTGGAAGCTGCAGTGGAGCCCCTTAGGCCGGCGGACTTTTCACTAGTACTTGCATATGCTTGCGATACTGTAGTTCTGCCCATTTCCCTCAGGAAATTACGTGTGCAGCACAAGATCACGGATTCTTGGCTTGTTTTGGAGAACTCGAAGGTCGAGCATGAAAGCCTTTTGACCGGCCGAGTGCACTGAAACGATCTTTATTTGCTGAGCACTCTGAGGAACGAAGATGCCATGAAGCTGAAGACCAGCTGCACAATCTCCGCACAGAGTTCAATCGGAACAGAGATTGTGAACAGGATCCGAGGCCATGAAGCTTTCGAATCTAACCCACAAGAAATGTGCAACATAATATAACACGAGGGCGAGCGGCAGTATGTTGCAAATCGGAGCCACTTTTGACTCAATGTTGTCATGCCGCGCACGGGATTTGAGAAGCCATGACATATTTGGAAGGCAACTCCGCGGATTCAAATCGGATGCTGTCGGTGGTAGGATGGTTTCACGTGCAGCAGTGCATTTCAAAACCGAGTGTACGCAACCGCTCTTAAGTCACAGGGCCTTGGTGTCTCGTTTAAGAATGGTGTCACGTGGTCTGCATGTGGTGCCCGTGGCCTTTCTCCAAGATCCACTGTCCAAACTCGTCTGCAGGCTGATCACACCCGGGCCGCCCCCGCCAGGCCAGAATTCAAAAGCCATGGCAGTTGTGAGCCTTGACTGCTGCACGAGGCCATGGGCCGGAAGACGAAACCGACTGCTGGATATGTCACGCCCGTTTGGGCAAACGCTGCTTGGCAGCATCGCACACTAGCAGCACTAGCAGTGGATTTGTGCAGACATGCCGTTTCCCGCGAGGCTTTCTCAATCCACGGCACCATTGCCGAGCTTGTGGGAGACTAGTTTGTGGCCAATGTTCGCCGAGCAGAATTCTCATGGACACCTGGCCTTGCCCGAGAATTTGCAAGACAGACAACTCAACTGGTGGGCATCGTTGCGAAAATGCATTGCAAGGACGGGAGGACAACGCTACAGCGTGCTTGTGCACAGTGCACGCGGAGTGTGCAGGAGGTGCACGGACCTCAGGTGCAGATGTGCGTCGGTTTGCGGCAGTTGATCTCTGCATGCTGGGTTCACGTTGCAGCCTTCCCAGGCCCAATGCCACTCGCCGTTTACAGGTGCTAGCGGCAGGCGCACTCAAGCGCTCAGTCACACGAACTCCGGTGCGGTAATTCATAGATTTATCCCTTCTCCTCTTTCGCTCTCTCTGTCTGTCTCTGTGTGTGTGTGTGTCTCTCTCTCTCTCTCTCTCTCTCTGTGTGTCTCTGCATAGAGTATCTGCCTAGTCCGCCTTCTATGTCCGACCCAAGCCGCGCGCGCAAAACATACGCAACAAATCTCTCCGTCGGCCACGAGATCCCGGGCGTATGATGTCTGCCACCTGCGTACGGGAAAACGCGTCGGGACTGCAATGTTGTTCCGGCTTTGAACTCCCTTCCAGAGCTGTTGCGCTGTCGTTTATTTATTCTGCAGTTCCTCTTGCGGAACAGGTCTTTCCGTGTTGCTCGGCGCAAGATCAAATCCAGCGACGTCAGCTGCAGGAGCGGCTTTTTCTTGCCAGATGTCACGGGATGCATGCAGCGCCTGGACTTGGCAGGTCTGTGCAGCAGACTGGCCACGCTGGGTACACTAGAGGGTGCAATTCGTGAGTGCGAAGTAGGCCTTGCCTTGCTTAAAGAAGCGGAGACTTGACGAGGCTTCCGGATCAGCTTGTATCTAATCAGCGGATCTTAGCGGTGACATGCTAACGCTACTTGACCTCTTGCAGGCTTCGTCGTTCTGTCTCGCTTTTGTCGTTTGGCCGATGTTGAGCTGTATCATTGAACTTCGACAAACTACTTGCCAGACCAATGTTTTTTTGCTTTCGTACAGGCCAAGCATCTGTAGTTAGGTTCGCAAAAGCGGGGCGCCAACATGACGCCCATGTGTCACTTCAAAAGATGCGATACGGAAAAGAAATGTAGTTGCTGATGGACAGCTTTCCGGAGAGGGACGATAATGGAGTTACACGCGATTCGTGATTGCCCCGATGCAGACGTAGCATCCGAAACGCCATCGGGTGCTTATCGTGTAGTCACATTCAGGACAAGATCCAGTTCATCGCCTTGAAAGAGGACTCTCGCCGCAAATTGCAGTCGTTTTGCAAACAGCAAAGCCTCGTCGTCTTAGTTATTGCGTATGAGAACCATCAAGTGAGCCGTTTGAATTTTTGGTTGGGACACATAGGTAGATGAACACGGCATGAAAGAATTTTCGTAGGCATATGAGCAGACTGGCCCTTTCCATGTGCATCCTCTATGTTTTTCATCGGCGAGAGCAGATCATCGGCTGCCCAGCAAATAAAGGCTGAAGCCCTGATGCTGCGAGGCTGGCGATGTTCTCCAGGGCTCTTGCGGCCATGCTGCTGCGCACGTGGTCACAACACTGCTGGCCTCCGACCAGGACTCCTTATGGTGTCACGTGTCAGTCGGTGTCCGCACCAGTACAGGAAATGCGGACTTGCAGGACTCAACGTCGTGGAGGTTTCCGAGCGAGCTTGCTGATTGAACTCCCCCTCCGCTCCATCTACATCTCGACGACGGCCTAGACATTAAGTGTCAGGCCCTCAAGCCTGGAGCGTGGCCAGAATCTACTCCCTGGCTGCTTTTCTATGAGGGTCCTGTCTGTTCGAAGGCAATCGAGGAGGCTAGAATGGAAGCTACACTAAGAACAATCGAACTGACAGAACTCCCAGTCTCAATTTTCAAACCTTGCGGTTTGTTTGCATCATCCCTTCCCGACCTTCGCTGCCAGGATCGGGACTGTACAGTTTCCTTTTGTTGCTGAGTGCTGCCTGTCTTCGAACATCTGTCTAGATGCATCAATGCGCGTGGGTGGTGTCTCCATTGCATGGAGTTCGCCTGATAAAGAGAATAGTCTTTTCTTTCCAGGCGCACATATTTGCCCCGGAGTGTGCATATCTGCACTTACTTGCATGGTAGCTCATGCGTGCAGATGTGTACACATAGATACATGCAGGCATGCATACATACATATATACATATATGCATACATATAAACATACATACATACATACATACATACATACATACATACATACAAACACACATACATACATACATACATACATACATACATACATACATACATATACATAAACAAACATATACATTGATCTTAGCAGTACACTCTTCGCGATAACCTAGCTAGCTAGATAGATAGATAGATAGATAGACAGATGCAGAGAAAGATGGATGGCTATGTCGGTGGATAGGCGGATGGTGAGATTAGATGGTTCGATCAGAAGGAAGGGTAGGTATATAAAACAGATGAGCACATGATTCCAGAGGTAGATATACACGCATGCCACAAAAGCAGTAGTGAACAGAACCACAAAACCGACAGCAATACTGTAGACAACAAGAGTAGCGAACATAAATGCCCTTGGCTGTGTGCGAAAAAGACACTGTTTGGACTCAGCTGTCCAACAACTAGTCACTAATCGAGACGGCTGTACTTGTCGTTTCTAGTTTCCAGGTGGTAGGATTCAGGCAGCAGGCATGGGGCCTGCCAGATCCGGCGAGGATCCTTTTGCCTCTTCCCCATAAACTTTGGGGGAGGGCAGAGTGTCGTGCAGAACAGCAGCCCCAGTTCCAGCATTTGTATGTTTTTCCAGCTCGGGCTTGGCTCAAACCCAAACCTTTGTAACTAATTCGAGCTGCATTTTGTGGTGGTTGATCGGCCTTGGTAAACCATTTCTAGCTGTCACCACCAATCTGACCGGTCCAGCCGACAGACTCCTGAGAGGAAAGACTAAAGAGATCCCTGCTGACGTCATGTCATGCCATGTCAGGTAAGTGGCAGTGCGGTGGGATAAATTGCCAAGCTCATGAGAGAGAGAGGGAGAGAGAGTGAGAGTGAGAGTGTGTGTGTGTACCTCCTGTGAGCCAAGGATGTTTGCGTGTTTCCAGCTACTCTTTGGCCGTATTGCCCCTTTTGGTCGAGGGGGGATGCCTTCAGCATCAGGCATCTCCGTTTCCTCACACGCCGCAAGAACATCAGCTGAATGTGCTTTTGCCCTTAGTCTCGCTGTCGGTGCTGCGGTGTGCCTATGCTCCGTCTCTGACCCAGTGTTTGCAGCTTAGTACTTCGGTGAGGGATCATTGAGGGAAGAGCTTTGTTCCTGCGAAGTGGACTGTCTTGCCCAGTGTCCAATTCCAAGCCAAGCCGCCCGGCTTGGGGGGGCGGGCCCATGGAGGTTGGGGTAACACATCCCTCCCCATTTCCCAGGCTCGGATTGCGGGCCCCAAGCCAGGTCGACGCTCACTCACTGTTTAGCCGTCAGCAAGGGGAGCAGTGAACCTTCCATCATCCATTCCCCAACGAAGACGGTGATAGGAGAGCTGTGAAGCAATCCGGGACGCCAGATTGTGTACTTGTTTGTACAGATAGCCAAGCAAGTGATCGAGAGCGTGAGGTTCAGGGTTTCTTTGATGTATGAGAAGGACTCAGTACTCGGATTGGAAATTTGCACAAGTGTGCGCCAGACAGCATTCGTTTATCGCGCTGTCTGCTCCGGGGTTGCCAGGGTGTCCCATGGGCATGGCAATGACCGATATTGTTCCCTGATCGGAACACCCTGACCAAAGCCAGTTTCTGTTGCATCAGTCCGTACAGGATCAGGACCCAAAGTCTGTAGACAAGCCGTCGGTCATGCAGAATTTTTTCGTCGATCTCCATCCGATAGTTGCGACTGATTCTGTGTGAGTTCGTGGCTTGGATTGAACAATCAGTTTGCTCGAGCTGTAGATTTGCGCTGACTGCGCTGTTTCATTTTGAAGCGTGTCTGACCCACAGCTGACAGAAGTGATGGAAGCAAGTGTCTGTTGCTGTTTTTGCAAGACTCGGTGTACCTTGGTGGAATGACAGTTTGATGGGTTTGCAATCGAAGACTTGTGATGTTCTTGGTCTGAGGCGGCACGTGCAAACGTGAAACATGTGCAGGAATTATTGTTATTTGTCTTGAAACAGACCACATATTTGCAGTTTGGCTGGATCTCCGGACTGCGGATTCCGACTGTCTGCAGGAAACCTTAAGTACTAGCTGACAGTTGCATGAAATGATTGACACCGTAGCAGAAGAATGATCAATACCGTCTGGCTGAAGCGGCTGAAGTGATTGAAGCTGTAGCAAGGGCAGTTGCAACGACAGCTTCATGCCATACCAGCTCAGTCGGGAGAGGGTGATCAGCGGCTGACTGTGAAGTGATGGAAGCACGTGCTTGTTGCTGTTTTTGCAAGACTTGATCTACTAGCTGGTGGATTCCGGACACACAGCGGTATGGGTGATGCATTAAACGACGGTCAGTCTTCCTGTTTGTTTCGGTGAGTGTTCTTTACAAGCCAAGTGAGTATGCGCTAACGGTCGAAAGGCTAGCCCTTCTACGGAAGGGGTGTGTGTGTACCTCCTGTTATCCAAGGATGTTTTCATGTTTCCAGCAACTGTTTAGCCGTTTGTGTCAGAAAGGGGGGCAGTGAACCTTCTATCATCCATTCCCCAACGAAGACGGTGATAGGAGAGCTCTGAAGCAATCCGGGACGCCAGATTGTGTACTTGAAGCCAATCAAGTGATCGAGAGCGTGAGGTTCAGGGTTTCTTTGATGTATGTAGCAGGTGAGAAGGACTCAGTACTCGATTGGGATCTGCACAAGTGTGTGTGGCGATGTTGCACACGGTCGTGCTGTGCGAAGCGCCTGTGTGTTGCTCTTGAACTCCGCCGGTACTTGAAGAACAGCCGTTTGGCCGTGGTCCTGCTGGTTTCCTTGCGCATTGCAGTTTCCCCATACTGGTAGCTTGCTCCTGCACTCGACAGGAGCCCGGACAACACGATTCCGAAAAGAAAACACATGTTCGAATTGATTGCGGAGCCTTCTCAGAGAGTGCCGTTCGTTTGCTCCCCCATGCCTCAAGAAATAAAAAAGGCAGCAGAAACAAAGAGAAGAAGGAGGAGGAGGAGGAGGAGGAGGGGACGAGAGCGCGAAAGAGAGACAGCGCGTTTTTCGGCAGTATGTGTTGTCGCCAAGACTTAGCAAGCATAATCATGAGCTATTCGTTCGAACCTTCGCCGCAGACCTGTCTAGAAGCGAGGCTTGCAGGCATTTGGCCTCAAGTGAGTTCGGAAATAGTTCTGGCCCTACTGGAAACCATGACCGATGCTGCAGCCTTGCCGGAAGGGACGGGCACCTGCACGCAGTTCAATGTCATGAAGGCAAGTCCTGTTGGCATGGTATGCCCAATTCGATTCACCCGTCGAGACGGTGTGCTCGCTGTGCATGTGCAGATGCGATTCTGCCAGGGGTTTGGTTTCATTGACATGGGCGGCGTCACGGTTTTCGTCCACAGTTCCGACTGCGAGCCCGGAAAGCAGCCGAAGGAAGGTGACGTTCTTACGTTCAACTATGAGCCCAGGACTGTGCATGCGCTTTCTTTTCACTTCTGTGCTCGCTAGACTCTGCTAGAATCTATCAGGCTTGGCGCATAGCCTGCCGTCAGCTGCATTGCAGGAAAAACAACCCGGAGCAGATGCAAGCGCGAAGTGTCAAGGGCTGTTCTGCAGCACGGACGGATGTGTGGGGTCAGCCTGCCTTCGCCGGGCCGGTGGAAGGCACAGGTGCATACACAGGGTCTGTGAAAAACTTTGGCTCGAAGGGCTATGGCTTCATCGTCATGGAAGACGGTGTGGAGATGTTCTTCAACATCAAAGATTGCGTGGGCAGCAAGCCAGTTGCAGGAGATACAGTCAAGTTCGACATTGAGGAGAGCCCTATCAAGCCTGGCAGCAAGCAGGCGGGCTCCCACCCTTCTGCATTGTCCACGCAGTGCGCCTATGGTCTGTAATGAGAAAATTCGATTGATTTTTCGCTTGCAGCACTTGCTGGCAGGCGAAGAACGTCACCGGAGGAAGCCAGCCTTTGGACCCACCGATGGGCATGAAGGGTGGATGGGGTCCCATGTGGGATGGGGGCAAGGGCTGGGGCGGCGGATGGGGCTGGAATGGCGGCTGGGACGGCGGCAAGGGCGCCTGGGGAGGTGGCAAAGGTGGTCTCAAGGGTGGAATGATGGCTGCCGGGCCATACGGAAAGGGCGGAAAAGGTATGTGGTAGAGTGGGCGTCACGCTCCTCGCTTCATCCGTGCTGGACTTACCGGAGCGCCTGTTTCGCTTCACCACAAGCAATCTCTGCCACGGGTGCAGTGAGCACAGGCTGGTGAGCCGTCACACTAGCAGTCAACGCGATTTTTCACTTTAGGCGGTTAAGTAGAAAAAATCGCATGCCTTTGCTGCTCCAGGTTAGTATTCGAGCTTTCAGATAATAGTAACCGAATTGCATGCATCCTTGAGTCTATACTAGAGTTTGCCTGTGGCAGCTGTGGCAGTTTTGACCTTTCTTGGTGCGGCCAGCCCATGCTTAATGCGTTTCCAGATCCTTAGGGGTCTCCTCCAGCCGATCTCTGAGTATTACATGTCAGACGTCTCACATATCATGGCTGCACAACGCGAGAAGCAAGTGAACGGGTTTAGGCACGGCTACACATACGGTTGAACAAGCCGGCCATGCACACAGGTAGGTGCAATGACCATACTGCAAGGTTGAGTCAAGGAGACGGGATAAAGACCAGAAGCTGCTGTTTCTCGCGGGAAGAGCCACCTCAACGTGCACAACTCGCCAGCCAAAGAAGCATGCTTCTGTAGAGATTGGACTTCATGCATCTGCATGCTAACTAAGTGCTTCAATGTGATGTCGCCAGTAGCCCGCACCTCACCCCAAGCTGCATGTGACTGAGAATTGGAATTCCGGGGGATGCACATTGCTCGCTTGTACTGAGCTTGGCACCTTGGAAGACATGCCCTGCAGAGGACCAGCGTACATGTTTACGGAGGAATAGGATACAATTTCTTCACCCGAGATTAAACTTTGTCATATTCCACCCTCTCCTCCTGAGCAATTAGCAACATGGCGGTGGAAGACGATTCAAGCAGTTCGTCTTCCGAGGCGAGGCGAGGGTGAGGGACAACTGCATCTGCTGGCTAGAGGGCATTGCTAGAATGCTGGCCATCGCGGCGCAGGTTTCTGCCAAGCGCCGTCGACGGCTGCCGTTGCCTGCATGCGTGGGTTGCTTTCTGATGTCTGGTTGCCATGACTTTGGCATTCTTACGTGGAGTCCAGTGGCCTTGACTCGGTCATTGATGATCTCATCAGCTGTTTCCAGGTCCTCAAGCTTTTCGGGGAATCGAGTCGCGATGGTGGCCGAGCCCTGACAAATTGCCAAGAGACTGACCGAACATGTTCTCGCGGCGTAGTGGTCTTCCAAAGGACTGCCGACCACGTTGTTGCAGTTTGGCCCAAACCCTCGAGCTGAAGTCCTGGCCGTGCAGAATCGGGCATTCCCACAGTATTCCACTGTTGACAGCCGAGCGCGACGCACTTCAAGATTCAGGGATTTTTGTTTAGACGGGAGGAACAGTGGGCTCAGAAAGTGGCCCCTCCACCTCCTCTAGAGCCATGACGGACGCCGCAGCCCTGCCAGAAGGGACGGGCACCTGCTCGCAGTTCAACATCATGAAGGCTTCTCATATCTTCTCATCCTGCACAAGCATGCCCTGTTGGATTCGTGGCTTTGTACTCTGCGAATGTGCAAATGTCATTCTGCCAGGGGTTTGGCTTTATCGACATGGGCGGCGTCACAGTTTTTGTCCACAACACCGACTGCGAGCCCGGAAAGCAGCCGAAGGAAGGTGACGTTCTTACGTTCAACTATGAGCCCAGGACTGTGCATGCGCTTCCGCACAGGCACGCAGAAGGTGTCTAGCATGCCGTCAGCTGCATTGCAGGAAAAACAACCCGGAGCAGATGCAAGCGCGGAATGTCAAGGGCTGTTCTGCTCAACGGACGGACGTGTGGGGTCAGCCCAAGTTCGCGGGGCCGGTGGAAGGCACTGGTGCTTACACTGGGAGTGTCAAAAGTTTCGGCGCGAAGGGCTATGGTTTCATCGTCATGGAAGATGGCGTGGAGATGTTCTTCAACATCAAAGACTGCGTGGGCAGCAAGCCAATGGCAGGAGATACAGTTAAGTTCGACATCGAGGAGAGCCCTATCAAGCCTGGCAGCAAGCAGGCGGGCTCCCAACCTGTGCGCTGTGTGAAGCATTCTCTCAAGATCGCAGCCTGCATGATGCTTCGTCCAATGAATAGATTCGATCGTCGCACATCAAGTGGCCCATAGCACATTTGGTAACCCCTGCTGCGAGGCCAAGAATGTCACCGGAGGAAGCCAGCCTTTGGATCCGCCGATGGGCATGAAGGGTGGATGGGGTCCCATGTGGGATGGGGGCAAGGGCATGTGGGGCGGAGGCGGAGGCGGTGGATGGGGCTGGGACGGCGGCAAGGGTGCCTGGGGAGGTGGTGGTGGCAAAGGTGGTCTCAAAGGCGGCATGATGGCTGCCGGGCCATACGGAAAGGGCGGAAAGGGCATGTGGTAGAGCGGGGGCCAACTTGTCCCTCGTTTTATGCCACGCCGGACTTGCCGCAACGCGTGCTTCACCACAAGCGATTTCTGCCGGATGCAGCCAAAGTATACTACGGTGGGTGGCCTCGCAGCTGCAGACTTCTCCAGCTTTCGATTTGGGTTGAATAACTCGCGGCTTGCGCCCATAAATCAGTTAAGCCTGCAGCGGCTGTAGCAGTTTTGACATGGCAAGCTTCTTGGTGCGGCCACCTGGTGCCGAATGCCCTTCTTTCTGGATCCAATCATGTGGGTCTACAGTTAATCTTAACATTAGGTATTAGCAGAAAAGTATCACACGGCAGACGTCTCACATATGATGGCTGCCTAGCACGAGAAGCGAAATGCCCGGGGTGTTGTCACAGCTGCAAGGCGGCAGATTGTGTCCACCTCAATGTTCGAATCGCGAGTTGGGATGTTGGACTCAGATCAATCAGGAAGACCGAAAGAAATCAACTCATGCTTCTCGTGGAACAAGCCACCTCAACGAGAGCACAACCTCACCAGCAAAAGGGTATGCCGCTCTTGACCAGTGTATGTGCGCAGAGGGCGGGCCAGGACTTGATAAGTTTGGCCTCGTGATTCAAGATATGTGTTGCATGCTTTAGAGATGTCTCGTTATGTTCCTGCTGAACCCCATGCTAAGATGCGTTGGTGCTCGCTCACCCCGTCGCTGTGCAAGTGGTCCTTGGCCCGGAGCTGGGCACCAAGTCTGCTTTGCTTTTGATTTGGTGTCCTGCGGCGTTCAACACGGTCGACGTTCAAGGAGTTAGGCCGCTAGGCCAAGTTCCGCCGTTTGCTGTCCGAGGCTCCGGTTATGTGTCTTGGAGGCATCGCCAGCACGCCAGGAAGCCGGCATCGAGCAGGCCAGCTCAGGAGGGCATGCACCAGTGGAAAGAAGCGGCATGAAGCGGGCACGTGCCAGGCTGTGGATTCAGAGAGGCAAAATCTACTACAGCTTGACGGTGAACATCGGGGCCTGCTCGATCCCTAGTGCTATGGGATGCTCCCATCGATGCAAAGGACAGTCGGAAAAAGAGATCCACAGGTTGGATCCGTATGGCCTTGCGATTTGGCCTTCTGCTCTTGCTCCAGCCTCATAGCCGCTTGAGCATGCTTGCGCGAGTAGTTGCTGCCAGTGGCTTCTGCCAGAGGTCCTAGCCCAAGGAGTTGCAAGCTATGCCGCTGAAACCTTCACTGGTTCCCGAAGAAGACTTCTGGTGCGGAACCCTCCTTGGCCCTCGACGAAGTCATAGATAGGCTGTGCATGCTGTGGGAGGAGCTCGGGGCTGGTTGCGGGATGGTTTCACTTGCCGTGCCTGGCTTAGTCTCTCCTTGGATCTCTTGGCTGGACGCTTTGCATCGTCCTGGAACCACCCCAAGGCGGCACAGTTGGGCTTTGAAGTGCTTTCCACCGATTTCCGATCATCGCCACTATGCCTGGTGGCTGCATCTGCGAGGCGGCAGGCTCACAGAGGGAGTGCTTCACAAAGATGGCATAGTCTTACAATTCAGTCCTGTCGTGTTATCACTGGACGCAACATCGTCCCGGGTCTGCGAGTCTCTGTCAACTAGCTGCAACTAGCTCATCGGATTTATGTGCCAAGATGTGCCAAGTGAATGCCTGTCTTTTTAAAGTTGACGTTCGTTGCTGCTTGGTTTAGAGGCGTGTTAGGCACCACTTCTTCCGGTTTCCGTCTCGAGCTACTGGCGTGATACCTTGGGTCCGTCGCATCCACCAATTTCACAAGAGAGCGGTGGCTGATGGTGGCAGTCGTAATTAGCCGCTACGTGGGGACAAGATCTGACAGATGCGTCATGACTCCAATATACTCCAAACAAGGATGACAAAGGCATCTGCAACCTTTCTCCAGCATCTCGACGTGCCGAGAGTTCAGAGCTGCAGCAACGACGTTTCTGGAAACAACCGAAGCCAAGATTCCAAGAACTCCCTTTCATGGGTGCGATTCCCAGTGATACCAGTCAAGTTATAGCACACTACAGAGATTTGTCGACGGTCAGTCGCGCTGCATTCGTCTAGAGTCTACAGTCCAGAAATTTGCATGATGGCTGCCAGCCTGATGGGGCGAAATCATTACGTATGTTCCAACCATTGAGTTGTATGTGCCGGGCATCTACAGCTTATAGCCACACGGCAAGATGTCAGGATCTCAGCAAGCGAGTCCACACGCGCTTGCTGGATATTTGCGATCTCTCCACACCTCTACCTCCGGCCGACGTTGTCGTCGCCGCAGATGCCCAAAGCTGAGCATGCGTGTGTCCGGGGTGTCGTTCACCTGCCATGTGGATGCTACCGCGCAGGTCCTTTACGATGCCAGAACAGCAAAGGCCATGGCGGAGCGGGTGGCGGAAGCGCACCTGCGTGGAAGTGTGGGACGGCCAAGTTGTCAGGGCTCCACTGATTTTGCGCAACTAGCCGGTCAGGTTTGTTCAGTGCAGTCGTGTCCCGAGTGCTCCGTTCCGAGCCGGAGCTTTGCCCAGGTTGTTCTGCTAGCAGATGTTGGCCGCCCAAACCGCAGTAGCCCCAGCGCCGGCGCCGACGAAGTCAGACGGCAGAGATGTACTTGGTCGCAGACGGTCGCATTGGTCGCCGAGGAAGGCTTTTTCTCAGTCGACTGCTGCAGCTGCTTCCAAGTCTTGCTAAGCGGCTGCCAGGCGCAAGGGTTCAACGTCATCGCTTGGCATTCACGGAGAAAGCAGTGCTCAGGATTTGACTTCCCCATTGAAGGGCTGGCTGTACAAGAGACGGCAGGGAAGCAAAGACGATTGCCTCGCAAGCTTGTTGTGAATCTGCTGTAGAAGAAGTTGAAGTGGTTCTCAGGATGGTGCAGAGGTGGAGCATCGCCACGTGCCCGTGCAGTTGCTGGAGATGTGACGATGGATTAGATTCTGGGTCGGTTGACTGCTCTCGCCTGTCGTCGCCAATCCCGAAGGAGATTCCATTCGACGGCCCCGCCGCCGAAAAGGCTAGGCGAAAGTCATCCTGCCACTTGCATTCTGCAGCAAATGATTTCGGAGATAGGCAGAAGCCTGATTAGCATCCAGACTTTTCGAGTACAGCAGATTGGTTTCTTCACAGCTTCAACTCACGGCATGCGAACAGACCTCACAGCAGGTCCGTGCTCAATTCCCAGTACCGGGCACAGATTCTGGCGTTGCAGTGGCTGTGCCAGCTGCGCATTGTACATTGACCTTTGAAGCTCTGGAATCTAGTTGGCGACAGATGGTTCACTGTAGGCCAAATGCATTCGCCCCGCGGCTGTTGGTGCTGCATCTGTGGTGTTGCACTCGGCCAGAGCTGTGATTGAGAGCCTATGTGACTCAGCAGAGCATGCTTGCATTAGGTCGAAAGCACGTGTTGGGTGAGCGACGCACGGAGTGCAAGCGAGCCACAAAGAGTTGGTGATCGAGCTACAGAGAATTTGTGAAGCATTTGCGGGAGGGAAGTCAGAGCTCAGGGTTTTGCGAAGCCGCTTCCCGGCTCAGAGTCCAGTGGGACAGAGCCACTCTGCTGCCACAGATCGCTAAACTCCGCTGCCATAGACCTGAGGCGGCATGAAACCACGTGTGTACATGCACGCATGACAGCTGCAGATCGTAAACAGGCCTTATGGCTCCAAAGAAGAGTGCGAAACGAGTGATTCAAGTGCCAGAAGAGGATGCGCGAAAAGGGATTACTATTGTGTACCCCCTCCGTGCTTGCTGCATTCAAAGCAGGACGAGCCGCCGGCCAAGAAACTCCTCACTTCACTCAAGAGGCTCTTATTCGGGAAGCAGTTCAGACCTCATTTTCTTGGCTTCTGACTCGTGCCAGGCACGGTATCAAGGAATCTACATATCGCCATGTAGCAGACGCCAGCGGCTAAGACTGAAGCTTCTGTACTGCGGCCGCAGCCATGTCATGACGTGACATTCGGTCCTCGCGAGTGAGTGAGTCAAGGTGTTCTCTCATTCCGCAGCTGCACATTTATCGCAGGTTCGCTGTCGCACGCAACTAGGCTGTTTGCATCTCTTTGCTGTGTGTGACCCCTCAACATGCCCTGCAGGATTGCAAGGACATGTTCATGGCTGCACTCCCTTTCAGTCGCCTGGACAGCCATTTCAGCGGTTGTAGGATGCATTTCTGCATTATGAAGTGCTCGAGCATGTCAGGTCTACTGATGGCATCGGACGAGAGGAATACCTTCCAAGAAACCGTCGTGGGACTGGTGGACAAGGTCGCATGCCTGGATACCGGCTGATGATCAACCGCTTGCGCTGCAGCCGGGAGTGCGAGTATATGGTGTGGAGCGCATGTAGGGGTGTCAAGCTGATCGCAGTAATGGTAATGTTGGTGAGGATCTCATACATGTCGGAGTTTGGTCCACGGTGGACGACAAATTTCGCTCTTTTGTAGGTCGCAGTCGCAGTGTTGGGTGGATGTGGCTGATCTAGCAGAACAAACGCAGAGCAGTTTTTGTGGAACCATAGCCAAGCCTGTTCATGTGCATAGGATCTCATGGGATTTCCAGGCAAGTGCAGGCACTTGATTACAATGATTACAATCAGTGTAATGAGACTTGTCGATTGGCTTGCCATGGCCTGCTTGAATAAGCCGTGAACTCTTGCCAGATTTCGGCCCGAGCTCTGTGATATCGGCAAACACAGCAGGCATGTCGGATGACTTTGCGGTGGTGCGTTCTATCATAGAAGACAAGCTGCACCAGGAGTTCTACAATGTGCCGACAAAGGACTTACCGCCCCGGATGCAGCCTCGTCAGCTGCCGAACCTCCAGGATGCTATGAAGATTGATTGGGATGATTGGAAGAGCTGGGAGTGGATGCAGCCAGGGTGGAAAGGTGTGAAGATGCATTCTCAGTGCGTCATCAATGCCGACGGCTCTGCTGAGATTCGAAGCGTTTGGAAGTGACTCAGATACTGGGCCGGTGCAGAGCCAATCCAGGCAGCGCCGGCCATGAATGACATTGATAAGGGCCTAGTATGAACAAGTCCTCTTCCAAGTGACTTGCGCACAGTGCAGGCAAAAAAAGCTGTGCGAGCCTGGACATGTCAGTTTCAGCAAAGTCGACGAGAGTGCAAGCTAGCCCACCAACTGGAGCTTAATGCTAGATGTCTCAAACTGTTGGCCTGTGCAGGTGGTGACCGAGATGCTGGCTGGCATGCAGGAGTCGCTTGACAAAGCGAACGAGAAGCTGCAGTTAATGGATGCGGAAAAGGCAGCAGAGTCCTCGTGAGTCCTGACTTCAAAGAACACATTCGTGTTGTATTTGTGACACCAGGCACGACTTGATGAAGCAATTCAGTTAGCGGAGGACCAGCTGAAGGCCGCGCAGGCCTGCGGAGTCGTCAGTCACTGCTCTCGACCTTGACGCAGTGCCCTATTCTGGTTTAGGCCTGCGCTTGTGAGAAGCGGGCTGTGGTTACTGCCGCCTCTGCTGCTGTTTCAGCCGCGCAGGTCTGGTGGGGTGACGTGACGTGCTGCAACGTGTGGGAAATGCGGAGAGATTCCTCTGATCGAGGAGAAGCTGAGTGCGGCCAAAGAAGCCGAAGCAGCTGGACAGCGAGCGAGACAAGCTGCGTCTGATGACAAGGCGCGGCTTTGTCAAGAGCAAACAACACACGCTCGATTCGAAGACCTACTGACGTACTGGCTTCGCTGCAGTTTCTGCGTCCAGGTCATGCTCCAGCAAGCTGTGAGTACTGGGTGCTTCTCGAGGCAGGTGAGATCTAAGATGCAGGACGTTGTTTTGGTGAGATGCAGAAAAGTGTTTCGCAAAGGCTCAAGGCTGGCGAGTGGGAGGATGGCGACTCGCACGCATCTGATGCAAGATAGAGCAGTGGCAGTGAGCTCATGAGCTTACCTGGCAGGTGAAGCAGAGCGGCTCTTCAGTTCACTCGAGCCGCTGGTGCTGAAGGATGGGAGAAATCATCCTGGCCTGCATGTACAGATCTTCAAGTGTACGGCGAGCGCGAAATTTCTTGCAGAAGCTGAAGACCGACTCATCTTTGCGAACGGCAATGCGATGTACTCTTCTGAAGATGCTTGGCAGAAGCACATCAGGCGCCGAAAGTAAACTAGAGTAACTAGACCCAAGAACCGAACTTGAAGCAGATCTATGTCAACAGACAACATCGTACCCAGGATCACGATAGCATCATGAGGTGAACAGTGCGTGGCCTCGTAACCCGCAGCTTCGAGAATTGTTGCCCCTCCCAGTTGCGTGTGCGAGAACTGCAAGCAGCTCATGACCCGTATGAAGGGTTGCAAGGCGAAAGTTCAGCGCACAAGCTCCCTCCTGGAGACATCGCCAATTTGTCATCTTTGACCTTGCCCGAGGAAGCCGGTGAACCGCGGGCAGTTCGATGCCATGCTGCTTGAGGAGACATGAACATCAGAAATCGAGAGCTTCGGATCATGTGCTAAGATGGGAGCCACAGTTCAGCCAAACCCTGGGTGGACACGTAGGCGATGCGGAAGCACGACGAGACAAGGGCATGTAGTCAGTCATGTGGTCGGCACAGACAACCTACGCTAGGGGAAGCCCTCCAGGAGCTCGAAAGAGCCTTTTCGGCGCGAATCTCGGAGCTTGAGTCGAACCTTTCTGAAGAGGGTGCCGTGACAGCAGAGCTCGCAGAGAATGTGGCTACAGCAAATGCTGAAGTGGAGACTGCGATGGCCTCGCAGCAGCAGGTGCGGGCCTGAGGGAGTGCAGGCAGCCTGCCTGGTGTATCAGCCGTGCAGCTTGAGCCGACCCCGAAGGCATCCGCTGCGCTGTCCTCATCCTCCTCTGAGGAGAAGATGCGGGCTGCTGCCCTGCAAGCGGCCAAGGTGACTCTGCAGGAGACTTTGCGTGACTCATGAGATCAGATCGGAACAGCACTGCACCTTTATGTCTGCTGATGTGCATGATGCTACATGAGTCTCCTCTCTTGACCACAATATATTGGTAGGGCCAGATTGGTAGAATCAGGCCTTGTGATCTTCGCATCCTTGCACGCACAAACCACTCGGCAAGCACATGCAGCGAACACCGCGGTGTTATTCCAATCGCCATTGGCGTGGGCTGCGTTTGCAGGGGCATCCGCCCGGATGGGCCACCACCTTTTCGAATGCCTGTGAGAGAGAGGGGTGGATGAGGCTCGCGGATGGTCCTGCTGCTTGGCGGTGTGTGCATTGCGACATATTGCGCTATGCAGCAGACCAGCCAGCAAATCGGTTTGCCGAAGGAAATGTGAGCATTGCTTTCAAGGAAGGACAAGCTTTCCAATCATACTGAGAAGGCAGGATGTGAAGTTACCTTCGGGCACAAATGGAAAATTGGAGCCACCAATTCACGGGTGAATGCACGCAGGCAACATCAGGGCAAACGTGTGCGCCAAATGTGGCTCTGGCCAGCGCGCGACCCTGACATTCATAGTCTCTCTTGCCCACATGTCCCATTGCCCAACCACTTCCTGTTCGAGGTCACAAGATGTCACAAGTAGCGGAACGCGAACACACAGCGGTGTGCACCTGTTTGATGCAGCATGACGGCATGACGGCACGCGAGACAAAACGGACTAGCTGCAGTAAACCGCTCGTTCTTGTGATTACCCTTGGGTGCTTGTGGATGGAGCCTGAGGAGTTCAAGCCGAAGCATGCTCAGGCAGATCGGGAGATCCAGTTGAGAACTCGTTTCAAATCCCCCAGCCCACCCATGGCAGGCATGCAGCGGAAGGAATGCTGAGCAGCAGCAGATGCAGCAATTTGTGGACAAAAATGTCGCTGCATTTCAAGAGCTCAAGGACGGCATGCCGGTTAAGGGCCCATTATGTCATTATGTCCTTGCATATCATCCAGAACTTAGGACAGGGTGTCTATCAAGTCGGAGAAGGAGATGGCCACTGGGAAGGAGCTCCAGGCCGGCGAAGCCTCCAAGGCATTCTCGCAGCGTCTCGCAGTCAGTCCGGTTCTTGATGTTTGTCTAACGTGTCCCAAACAGCTGGACATGCTGGACTTGGTACATGCTTTCAGTGCGGACAGGCCAATCCGACATCCGTGTTGGGCTGTGAAGCTGGCCCTGAGGCCATGCGTGGTTCCGAAATGCCGCAAGTTAGTGAGACTCTCGTTCCTGACAGGTGGGTGGCGCATAATTACCGAGAAATGAGCAAAGCCGTCCGATTCCCACAGCCACGGGGTGAAGGCTGCCGGGAGCAGCAACTTGCGAGACTTGGGAGGACGTTGCCAAGACAGCACGTGCGACAATCATACTGTTTTTGACCAGCGAGTTGTGAAAAGATAGGTCTGCGCCTTCGTGCATACAAGCAGTCTTGGCAATGTCGGTACAGTATGTCCTCGAGCATTAACCTCTGTATGGAGACAGAGGCTTCACATGAAGTGAAGGAGTCGAGCGTGTAACCTCACTGCAGCAGGGGTTGGAGCTGAAGTTGATCTTGAAAGTCTAAAATGACCTTAATCGAGGTTCAGCTTTCTGTGCTCGTCTCGTGGTTTGGTGGTGGTGCCTCGCGATTTAGCGAGGTCTTCTGCTGGCAGAAGTGGGAACCGACTGCTGACAGGTCCTTGTTCCAGAAAATGATTGTCGATGCTGCTTTGACTGCAGGAATCAAATACCGGTCGAATGCTGAATGCACGCGGCAGTAGCCGTCCTGACCCCCGCACTGATCACCGGCTTCCCCATTCAGGTTAGTAAAAATTGAACTTCCCATATGATCTTAGCTACAATTTTCAATCCGACAACCTTCACGCGAGCCTGGGTATGCACAATGCATGTGAAGACAATTGTATGGACTCGCAGCAAAATGCTGAAGATGTATGCGGGTGAGCATGGTTCCTCGACCGCTGGACCTGCAGCCGCAGCAAGCAGAAGCTTCTGCAGACGAAGATGCTGGGACTGAAAAGGAGCATGCAGGTATTGCTACTGACCTGTTTTGTCGATTCGTGAGGAGGCATTCACCGACATCGCTTTCAATGCAGAGGCGCCGGGATGCCCATGATTGCACGCATCTGCTGCTCGGACCTAGGAGTCATGTAGTCTTGGACTTGATTCTATGCCGAGAGGTAATCGTGGTGGTCTTGCTTGTCCTTATCGTTGTTGTGACGATGACGTGGTCGTGGTGTGATGGTGCTACTACTTCATTGTCGTTGTCGTCGTCGTCGTCGTTGTCGTTGTCGTCGCTGTTGCTGTTGCTGTTGCTGTTGCTGCTGCTGCTGCTGCTGCTGCTGCTGTATCCTTTGCTTGTGCCGTTGCAGTTGCAGTGCTGTTGCTGTTTGCTGTTACCAGTAGCTGCTATCTGTTTACTGTTGCTGCTGCTTCCGCTGGTGCTGGTGCTGGCGGCGCTGGCGGTGCTGGCGGTGGTGGTGGTGGTGGTGGTGGTGGTCGTGGTTGCGTTTTTGTCGTTGTTGCTGTTGCGGTTGCATTATTGTTCTTGTTGATTTTGTTGATGGTGCTGTTGCTGTCGCATTGCTGTTGCTCTTATCGTTCCGTTGCTGTTACTTGTGGCGCGTTTTTTGTTGCTTGTTGGGTTTTCTGTGATGGGGTGTTTTTGTTGGTTGATTTTCATTTCTTATGATTGTTGATGGATTGATTGTTTGTTTGTTGTTGCTGCAGTTCCTGGTTTTGTTGGTGTTGTTTTCGTTTTTGCCCGTGATGGAGGTTGGCAGCATCGTGGGCCCGATCGACGGATCAAAAGTCAAAAGCACTTCCGATTGCAAGAAACTCAAGCTGTCATGATGATGCAGGCCGACAGAGCCCGGCAGAAGGAGACGGCGACGCTGCGAGTTACCACCAAAGGCCAGGATATGTTTGGCGCAGCCTTGGCTGGCCTTGAGAGATCGCTTGACGCATGAGAAACTCACAATCAACAAATTAACTGATGCTTTCCGTACGATTTCTGTGGCAAGGAGGTCAGCAGCCGCTGTTGACTGCCGCTGTGGATAACACAACAACTGTGGCAGCACTGAAGTGCGAGGCACCTTGGGCCTGGCTGCAAAACCACGCGAATTAGATTAGCTGAGGCATGTCCTTGTGGTACTCTTGAGAAGACTCCAAACCCTCGTGGAGGTCGAAGCACGCACCGGCTGGCCAGGCGAAGCTGATGCAGACTCGGCAGTCTATCCGAGTCTATCCGAACTGTAGGCTGTAGCCATGCACACGCCAAGAAACCTTTCGCCGGCTTTTCGAGCTGGAAGCCTTCCGCATGTGAGGTTTGGGGGCGTGAGGATAAGGCTCCTTTCCACCTCACGATGTCCAATGTCTTCCTCCAGAGGGGCACGCCCTTTTGATTCCTGTCACCGTGATGTGCTTTTGTCCTGCCCCGAGAAGATAGAGGAAGAACAAGGACCGACCAGTCCTTCCTGCGGGGAATTCAAGCCTGCCTAAGTATGCTTGCAGGCCGGAGGCTCGAAGTGAAAGAAAGACCGGAAGCTTTGGACTCGACCAATGTGGAAGGTGGAAAGCACCACTGCACGTTATGGTGGCCCGTTTCATGCCCTTGGACCAACCGATGCTGACATGACCACCAATGGCTGCACCTACACTTGGCGAAACCACTGCCACCAGCTGAATAAGGAGACATTAGCATGTTGTTTCGGAATGACAAGTGCAGACGAGGCGCACGAAGCACAGCGTCACATGCACCGCACACCCGTCCGCATTTACTACTCAGCTGGATGGTGTCTAAGACAAAGTCGCCAGAGGGCTGACCACGGAATGCCACCGACATGGCAGCCATCCTCCCATGAGCTTCACTGGTTTGGTCAGAAAGACTTGGTTGATGCTGAGAGTCGCCTCTCTTTTCTCTCCCTCTCCCTCTCCCTCGCTCTCGCTCGCTCTCCCTCTCCCTGCCGCTCTCCCTGCCGCCCTCTCTCTCTCTCTCTCTCTCTCTCTCTCTCTCTCTCCCTCCCTCCTCTGCTTTTCAGAGGGCGGTTGGCGTCTGACAGCGGGACTGAGTACGCGAGGGAGAAAGGCTTCCGCACGGTCACACTGAGAGAACTGAGAGACCTTGGCGTAGCGCTTCGTGCGCAGGTTTCTAGGGTTTCGCGCCCAATTCCCACATGCGAAGCCAGCAAGCAAGCAAGCAAGCTTTCGGATGTGAAATCAGATGATGTGCGCGAGGTTTGTGTGGTGGATGGAAACCGGTATTGAAATGCGGGCTGGGATTTCTTCCTAGCGAAGCAGCTGGTGTACATCAGAAGTAAGAAAGAGGGGCTTGTCTGGAGTCTTGAGAGAACAAGAGGGAGGGAAGAAAGATGCAGAGATTTGACGCGGTAGGAAAGCAGCAGCTGCTCTCTTCGAATGGCTTGCCGTTGATGGGACACCAAGACTCTCGACGAGATCAGTTCTGCTGAAAACACCTGGCTGTCCTGTTGTTTCCAAGGTTGTACAGAGCTTATCGTGTCTCAATGACGATGCTGAGCTGCACGCCCGATGCGCTGACGAATCTTGGGTTCGCGAAGTCGAGGACACGTGACGTCCAAGCTGCTAAGGGAGGATGCTGCTTGCCATGCTTGCCGTGTCGAGCTGCAGGAGCTTGGTCTCACCACTGGAACAGAGGCTCGAAGAGCAGATCTGCTTGGAGACACTCTAGAAAGGATGATCGAAAGCTGTCTCCACGAATCGGGGTCATTGAATCTCGGCATTATCTCAGTCCACGACAAAGATTTCCTGAAGTGAGTTGGAACGAACTCCTTTCCGTCCTTTCCAGTCCCTAAGGAAGGAGCAGCTTGAAGTCAAGGTATGCGGGATGACTCTTGGATGCCCTGTGGGCTTGCGTAGATGTCGTCATTCGGAACTTTCGCACCGTGTGCAGAGTTCACAGTACCGGTCACCATGTGTCGTTCGAGGAGCGAGAAGTTCAAAAAAGCCACCAGCATGGACCGGACCTCGTTGTCATTGCATCTCATCGAAGGGGTCCCTGGGCAGCTCGCAGTCACTCGAGCACTCAGATCTTGGGCAGCTCCGGCACCCTCGAGGCAACATCTCCGTTTTTTGCTGTGATCTTCCATTGGGGCTTCTGAGCTCGCTTGGCACTCTCGAGGCCGCCGCAATGGATCTGAACCGCAACCGCGATGTGCTTTTCGAGGCCATGCAGGATCCCGGGTAGCAGTCTGAGGAATATCTTGGTGCTAGGCCGTGCCCAGAAGTTCAAAAGCAGCAAGGCAAGCGGCAGAGGAGTACCGACTGCAGGGCCAACGACAATGCTGCACGGTTTTGTGCACGTGGTCGTGTTTCTGAGGAACTAATGCGCTGCCGGAACAAGCTTCTGTCCTCTACGCAAGGCAACGGCGAGGTGCTGGAAAAGTCTCGTTGCTCGACAGGAAGAGTTCACTCTTAAAATTGTTGCTTCCGCAAACAGCCCTCTGCTTGAAGGAAGCCGAGGACTAGAAACTCATCACCTGTTGAGAGTGAGTGGCAGCGCCCAAGTGAAGGATTGGTTCTTGGTCCGGCACACCGAGAGCTGCAGCAACTGGCGAGCGAAGTCCATGGCCGACTGCAGCAAATCCTGGAGCTTTTGTTGCGCCAGAGCGAACTTCTCCATCTGCAGAGGACCCCCCCGCGGGGCAGTATGCCAGTCGTACAAGGATTCAAGTATTCACTGAACTTCCTAAGTCCTAAGCCAGGTTTCGTGGGTGGCTTTCTGGCCGAAAGGTGGACATCAGCTTCAGAAGATGGCAGGCCAGACAAGAAAGCGTGAGCCTGGACGCTTCGGTCGTGCAGCAGGTCGCTGGCGAGCCTGGGGTGTGTCAGGAAAAGTGTCTTTTTCAAAAGGGTTCTACTCCTAGTGCAACTGTAAGAGATGAGTGCGATGACGATGAACGAGTGTGGAGATGATGATGATGATGATGATGAGACGATGAGGACCTGCTCGTCAATCGGAAAGGCTACAGGCAAGCAGTTGCCACGAGTCCCGGACATGCAAGAAGCGCGCCATGCTTCATGCCACCGAGCTTCTGCCCATGGGTTGCGGTGCGCAACATGTTTCTTTGGATTTGTAAGGAACCTCGCTGCCATCAAGCTTGCAAACGAGTACCTGCAACAGGTGCTCGCCACCAACTTGGTTGGTAGAGGCTGCCTCAATACAGCTCGTGCAGCGTTAGGGAACCTGTCAGGACGAAGCCATTGTCCTCAACTGGGCGCTCACGCACGTTTCCAAGGTCGGCTGGCAAGCACAGACCCCAGTAGTTTTGTGGTTGTGTAGCTGGGTGCGAGGAGCGCACACTGGACCGAGACTTCATTCTGAGCGTGGTGAACGCAAACGGCGAGGTGTGTGTGGGTGTTTGTGCGCGTGACTTGAGAGCATCAGGACATGCTTCCGATACAAATCTGTTTGCTCAATCGCTGTTTTTGTAACAGGCCCTTGAGGAGGCACCCCCTCCTCTGCGCGGGGACCGCGAAGTCGTGCTCTGCGCGGTGAAAAGTTCCAAGGGTTGGGCCCTGCAGTGTTTCGGCAGCAAAGATTCCAAGATTCGTGTTGCAGCAAATGCAAGTTACGGGGCCTTTGTCTTGACGCATGGAGCCCATTCACACGTTCACACCAGGCAGATTGCCCAATGACTCTGGAAACGTGACTTCTGTACTTTTCGTGGAATGTAATTAAGTGCATACTGTAAGTGTTGAGTGGCAGTGCAGAGGACGTCTTAGTGCGGGCGCTGGCACAAAACGATGCGAAAACAGTTTGTCGTGGAATCTGACTAGCCGCCTCTGGCCGAAAACTGCCCCCCCATCACGAGCTGAGGTTTGCCTCCGATGCGCTGAAACGAGATCCCGAAGTTGTGCTTACTGCTGTGCGCAGGAATGCCTTGTCTTTGGAGCCTCCAGAAGCGATTATTTTTCACAGAATACATGTTGACATGTCATTAGCTCGATGAAGTCGAAACGACTGTTGAGCACAACATAGGTTTGCAGCAGAAGCACTACGCTCAGATCGCCAAGTCGTCTTAGCTGCAGTGTGGCTTTGTCGGAATGGAGATGTAAGTCTGTGCGGCCGCTGGCACTTGACTTGGGGCTCTGGCTCAGGCAGGTGCAGGGCGAAGCTTTGGAGTTTGCGTCGGCAGACCTCAGGCCATGCGATTGCACCCAGCAAAACATGTGGCTGCGTGTTGTGTCTTCGAAACTCCGAAATCCTTCGAAGTTCTTAGCGTGTTTGCCACACTTCACAAGGCGAGATGCTGCTCGCTTCTCAGCGCGGATGTCGACTTCAGATCGCTTATGCAGCAGTTCGCATCCTTTTCGATGTCGATGCCTAGGACGTGGTCGCGGCTGCTATTCGGAGCAGTATCCCTTTTGCAAGTAGACCCTCTGCCAAAACGAGCCAGCACAACAACAAGCCAGGTCGCGGCTGGGCGTTGCAGTTCGCGTCGGAGGAGTGTCACAGGGCCATAGAGGGCATAGCATAGACTCTTAGATCTTGATGTTTTGCTGTTGCAGACCTTCATGGCAGGAACTTCGGGCCTGCCCGGCCACCGTCCTGGCGGCGGTAAGTGCCAATGGCTTGGCTTTGGAATACGCTGACGCTGCACTTCAAGGCACCGAATCACGATGTGTGCCGCTTTTCAAAACGATGTGATGATCATGCAGGTGACAAGCCGACGGTTTTGGCGGCTGTGACAACGAATCCATCCGCTCTGCAGACCCCTGGCTGACAGTGAGTTGTGCAGTTTTCTATGGAATGTTTTGTGGGTAAGGTTCGCTTCCAAGCAGCTGCAAGAAGACAGGGAAGTGGTGCTAGCCGCCATCGCCAAGGAGCTGCATGCAGTGTCAGTGCGTGTGTGTGTGTGTGTACCAGACGTCCAGCCAACTGCGCCAATCAAGCGGTCTTCTGGTGTTCGATGCAGAAATGAGCAGGATGGCTGCGCGCTTCAATTTGCAGCTGGAGCCATGAAGGCGATGGCTGGATCGACAGCCAGCCCTGAAATCCCTTGAACATAAATTATCAGTCTTTCGATTTTCTGTGAGACCACTGTTGTCGGCTGTCGGCGATAGAGAGACATGAGAACAGATGGACCAGGTGCCTACCTTCGGGAACCTTGATGAACGCATGACCAACAGACTTGTGATGGGTGACCTCAGCTGAAGTAAACTATGCCGACGCAAACACCGCGACGACCATCACCCACGGCCACCATCACCACGACGAACACCGGGAGATGAGGACGATCACGACCACCAGGAGAAGACCAACCCAGGCCAGCGACCACCACCACGGGACCACCAGCGAGGACCCAAGTACCGGCTGGATTCACGGCACAGGGCTTCCCCATAAACTGGCGGGATACAGGAGAACGGCCAAAATGCTGCTCCCGGGAGCATTGACGCAATGTCACGCCATTCAATGTTTTTGAGGCCAACAGCCAACAAGTGGCCCATTGGACTGTACAATCTGGCCTCTCGGGAGGCCGGATTTCCACCGATCCTGTACAAATGATAGGATTGACAGGACACGAGCGCACCGCCCCTACAGCGGGAGTCGCGTCGCGAGAAGTTTGGGGGAATCTTAAGGTTGTCCATGGCGTGGCTTCGCTAACCAATTCTCATGTGTCCACGCTCTTCTGGAAATAAAACATGGTATTGGGGCGGCTATACAAGCCATATCTACCATGTGCAGGATCGGAGTTATCATGCGCAAGGGCACAAATCACTTTGATTGCAACTGCCTGAAATTGACAACTAGTTTCAGAGACAGGCCAACATTAGGCATGTCATCTTGCATTTCTACCCGTCATTGCCAAGCTGCGAGCCGAACCCGCAAGTTTCTTGATTCTGCTCTTTCGCCCCAGAAGGCACACTGGATACAGATAATACAGTGCTCCTCACGTTCCAGGATTTCTCGCTGGCTGTCAGACTGCTCCGGCCGACTGCTGCATTACCTCGCTGAACCCTTCTTTGTTGTACTGTGCTTTAATGCTTTCAAACAGTGAAAGAAATATTCTTGCGGCAAATCGGCTGCTTGCAGGCGGACCGGGCAGTTGTACTCGCAGCTTGGCGTCAAAAAACGGCGCATGCACATGTGCTGGCCAACCCAACTGAGAGGGTAAGGTTTGGCAGGCTCTCTTTCGCCATGCGTTCTATCAAGGCAAGCACGAAGAATTTGCCTCCTTAGATTCTTGTCTTCTTAGATTGTTAGCTCATTGAAAATCAGACTGCATGAGGCAGCAATCCTGCAAGCTGGAACGCCGCTCTGAGCAATGGGCTGGGAAGATGTGGGGCTGAAAAATAGACTGCAACTTGAAGACTGACAGGTGTTTGCTTTGCCCACCAGAGTTTACAGCAATTTGGAAGGAGCTAGTCGATGCATCGGAGAGCATGAGCTGCCATTAGCCTTCATCAACGCGCTTTGTTGAAAGAAGCGAAGTGCCTGCAGGCATGTGCTCTTGCTGGCGGACAAGGAGCTGCAAACAGACCTTTCAATCTTGGAAGAGGCGTCTCGTCAGTCTCCAAGCGCCCCACAAAGCAAGAGAGTTTGAGCATGTGAAACTGTGTTCGAGGCGCAGCAGCAGCAGCAGTGGCCAGCCCATATGGTCATGGCACGCAATTCTCTGAAGCTCGAGTTGCTTGAGATGGGTTGTTCCAAGCTGCCAGTGTGAAGAACTGAGGCGTGAGAAACTAGAATCCGCGAGACCCGCGACTGCTCAGCCTTTCAAAAGCGAGCCGTGCCATGCAGGTGCAGCAGGCAGGTTTCATGCTGCCAGTCTCGGGCACAGTGATAAGTACGACGTATGTGCAGCAGGTACTGAACCATCTTGGTCTGACAGTGCCTTTGCAGATCTCGAAAAGACCCACTTGTGACACCACGCGCTGTGTGTCAACGCAGTTGCAAAACTGTCGCAAAGCAGCTGCCGTTTCACAACAGGCTGGGCAGAGCCTTCTGACAGCAAGTGGAGTTGAAAAACTCGCGTCTGGCTTGTCTGCTCTGTGAGGGTGAGCGTCGAACGCATTGCGCATTGCGACATCAACCGTCAACCCGTGTCTTCTGTCAAGGGCAAGCCTCTCTAGCTGGAGGCCGAGAGTAGGCATGGTAGGGCAGCCGTAATTCACACAATTCTTTGCAATGGACTTCCCGGAATCTCGTGGCAAGCCACAAGATGCTGCCGCTGACAACATCGACATGCCAGACTTGGACATGCCACCTACACCGCATAACTGTGCTGAAGGATGCTTGGGGTGCAGGCCCGCTCGCACCCGCAGGGGCAAGAAATCCTTCATGGAACTATCGGTGACTGCCGATGATGATGGTGCTCCTGTGACAGTGGGAGTTTGCACAGAACACACCGTCGTAAGATCTCGTTTTAGTATCCGGAATATCTGCTGTGATTCAGAAGTCCGGTTAATTGAACGCATCATTTCGCCACTATTGGGCGTGCAGACCGTATCCGTGAACAGCTTCCAGAAGCTTTGCATCGTGGAGCATTGTTCGCCGTGCTGCACGACCCCAGAGACAATTCTGAACAAGCTCAACAGCGCGGGATTGGGTGCTGCTGTCCTGGGGCAGGGGGGTGACGAAGTTAACCCCGAACAGCTGCGCTGCCACGAATGGTGCCGGCGCCATGGTCGTAGCTTTGTTGTCCTTGGTGCGGCCATGTGCATGCTTGCTAGTGCAGTCACGGCGGGAATGGAATTAAGCAGCACTTTCCAGGTCCTTGCAGTCTTAATCGGCTTGCCGTGTATTCTCTGGGAGTCGGTGATCGCCTTGCAGCAGTTTCAGATCGACGTCACACTGCTTGTGTCTGTTGCCGTCTTTGCTGCGGCGTGGCATGGCGAAGTCTTTGATGCGTCTTTGGTTGTGTTTCTCTTCAACCTGGCGAAGATCATCGAAGCAGCAGCTATACGGCGGGTGGCCACTGCACTGCGCGCAGTCATGCAGCTGCAGACTGTCCGCAGCGTACAAGGAGCAGATGGAAACCAGAAGCAAATATCGGACTTGCAGATTGGAGATGTGATTTCGTTGCGACCTGGCGAACAGTGCCCCGCAGATGGCATGGTATCAGCAGGGCTCGCCTCTTGCTCTGAAGCTGCTATGACGGGTGAGGCAACACCGCTTGAAAAGTCTAAAGGGGGCAGTATTTCTGCTGGGACTTTGGTGTTGAATGGATGCATTGAAGTCGAGCTGACAAAGCCTTCGTCGGAGTCACGCATGTCAGAAATTGAGGGCAGGGTGCAAGAGGCGCAAGCCAAGCGCACAGAGAGGCAAATGCTTATCAGCAGGTTTGCACAAATTTGGACTCCTGTGGTCCTCGTGGTTGCTCTTTTGACCAGCATGCTGCCTGCCTTTATGGGAGGTGACTTTGCGGAATGGCGCCACCGAGCCGTTGTTCTTCTGCTTATAGCGTGCCCGTGTGCTATTGTCATTGGCGCACCCCTTGCCACCACTTGTGCAATTGCAGCTGCCGCTTCGAATGGCGTGCTCATCAAGCGCCCTGAGATAGTGGAGCGTCTCCCAGCAGTAACCACTGTAGGTTTGGACAAGACTGGTACCCTCACCAAAGGTGAAATGACCGTTCTTCGTGTCCAGGGCATGTCCGGCTCCATGTGGGATGAGACGCAGGCACTGAAGCTGGCTGCCGCCCTGGAGATGAAGTCCGCGCATCCGATTGCGGCTGCTATTGTCTCGAGAGCTTTAGGGTGTGTCGGCACAGCAAACAGCACCGATTTGGCTGTTGCCAAAAAAATTCGCAATTTGCCTGGAGTGGGAATTCAAGGTCATTTGACAGTTGGCACAGGTTCGGCAGCTAAAGTGCACAAAGTCCTCCTCGGAAACCGACGTGCTTTAGACCTGGCAAATGCGGATGCAGACTCGCAGAAGGAATTCGAATGTTTCCAGGAGATGCACCGCAATGACACTACCGTTGCTTTGATCATCGACGGCAAGTTGCAGTTTGGTCTTGCCTTAAATGACACTCTTCGGCCAGAGGCCAGGAGGTTGATCGATGAGCTCAAAGACTTGAGGCTTCGGCCCTACATGTTGACAGGAGACTCCGAGTTTGCAGCAAAGCACATCTCGGCGTATGCTGGCCTGGATGCAGGACACTGTCTCTTCTCTTTGGCACCCGAGGAGAAGATGGAGTGGGTTGAGAGTGAGAACAAAGCAGGCAGAAAGACTCTGATGCTAGGAGATGGTGTGAATGATGCAACGGCACTTGCAGTGGCGACTGTGGGCGTTGCGATTGGCGAAACGGGCGCTGCACTGTCGGCACAGTCTGCCGCCGTTGTCCTTCTCACTGACAAGTTACACAAGCTCTCGCAGTGCATCATTATGTGCAGATACGCAGTTCGCATCGAAAGACTGAGCATAGCGGCTCCCTGTTTAGTCAAGCTACTGCAGGGAGTCGCAGCCTTACGTGGTGAGCTTGACTTGTGGATGGCAGTTGTTGCTGATCTGGGCACGCTTTTGCTCGTGCTGGTGCTGGGTGTATCGATCTTGTCGCGCAGATTCTGGGTAGACGAGGACATCACTGGAAGTCTTGCAGGCAGCGCCAACTTGGCCAAGTGGCAGGGTTATGAGGAGTTCGTCTGACGTCCCATGGTGCTTTTCCTGAAGGGAACAGCCGGAGAGCCAATGGGCTCTCCACAGTTTTAAAATCATTTCATGCTATATCTTCGTGCATTTTCCGTCGCTAAAAGACAGGGTCGCATGGCGACAAGGCAAGACGCGAACTGCTTGTAGCAGCACACGCTCGGCGCACATCTGTGGTGTCCTGCAACTCTGGGCTTGACTTTATGTTTGTAGCCCTATCTCGGCTGAATGATCACATGCTGGAGAGGTGGCGTGCTAGTGTTTAGGGCCAACTATTCGGTTGGAGAAGGAGGCCAGGTGCACGTGCGGGAGCTATAAAGGATAAAGAAGAACCTGGTGTTCCTATGCTAAATGTCGGTCCTACAAGTTGAATGGGTTCGCAGTCTTGTGGCATTCGCCTGTGCAGTTTGCTGCAATCACTGACGGCCTGCTTCCACCGTGTGCTCCATGCAGGTGTGGGCAAAAAGCCATGCCGGTGCAAAAGCCACAGCTGAAGAGCTTGAACTCTTCTTTAAGTGCACCGTCAATTGGCAGCCGAGCTGCAAATAGAATGGCTGCACAGCAGGAGTTGTTGAGGATGGTTTCAATCAACTGGTGAAGGCAAGAATGAAAGCATGAACATGCGCTCAACTACGGGCTCTTTGCCAACGATCCCGTGCGGGGCTGAGCTTCTTTTGACCTGCTGATAGCTGTTCACTTCTGTCCTCGCCTGACACAGGTCTGTGGCATTGTATGCCACACCGTCCTACAGCCACGATGCTGCATTGAGCATCGCTGGCGTAGGATTCATGCCTCTGTTGGTCCTTGCAACGAAGCAGTTCCGATCTGCTGCGGCCGTGGGCGGTTGCACATGCTGCTTCTGAGGTTCGCTGTACTCAGACCCCGAGGACTCCGCCAATATGTAAGACAGTGATTGAAGGCTCCGTCTCTGTTAGGTCTTGACTTTGGCAGGACCTGGAACCAGGTCCTGGTACTTATGAGATACCACATACCTTCGGTGTGGTCCTTGGTAATATGCTACCACTTAGCCAGCCACCGACCATGCACAAAGTCCCACTTTTCCGGCCCTAAGTACAGCGTCCAGCTCGCAGGGCGGCAGCAGCTGTCGCATCGCTTCTCTGAGCCATCGGCGCCGTTGATTGCGAAGCACGGCAAGGTCACGCATGGGGCAAGCTCTTAGAGTCTTCGAGGTTGCAAGCGCAGCACTGTTTGCGGACAAGCTCACTGTGAGGCATGGTCAAAGACGATGATCACCAAGGCTGGGCTCTACATCACATGCGGAACGCAGTGAAGTGTGTGGTTTCCAGGACCACTTGATGGCCATGATGGCCCGGGATTCCCCCGCACCAGGCAATCACTGTCCTGGTACCTTATCAAAGTTAGGCCGCAGTGGTCCATGCCCGCAGGCACCTACATGCCGCGACTAGCTCCGGCCTTTGTTGCTAGGGCTGCTGGGGTGTCGGTTACATCAGGTTTTTTAACTTGTGCAGAAGTGAGCCCGGCGGAGGCTAAGTCAGAAGCTCGGGTCCGGTTCGGCACTGGGCAGAGGCGCTGAGTAGTTCCCCCAAAACGGAAATCGACTCGGTTGTGCCTTTCTCGGTCCAGGGCAGAGCTGTGCGACACGCACTTCCGCGCACCAGGGCCTGTACAGACCTCAGCCACCTGCTCTGCGAGGTTGCTGAGCACATGCCAACTTGCAAATTGTGACATAAGTGACATAAGTCAATTTGGTTTCTGCAAAGCTCTTGGCCTCTTAAGGTCTACGAAGTTCGGGGATCTCCAGACAATCCTCCCCACCATATCAGGTTCACAAAGGCGGCTTCGAAGCAATGGGAACAAGAGAAGCGCTTTTGGTACGGTTGGAGTTGTCACTATGGCAGGCGAACCGATTTGCTTTGGATGACAGAAGCCTAGCAGATTCGTTGGGCTCCACTGGCCCCGGACAGTACGAGGCCGGACCTTCCGAGCTTCAAGTCTTTGGTGAGTCAGTGCATCTTCGCAGGTGAAAGGCTGCATCGATCAAACACGACAGGCGAGGTCTTTCGGTGCCTCGCACCGCGCGTATGACAAAGTGAGGCCAGGTGACCTTGTATGCTGCTTTCGAAAAGTAGTGTCAGTGCGCATGTGTCGAGGTTCCCAGGATCCGAAAAGGAGGGCCAAGGACGCTCCTCTCCGGGGCCTGGACCTCCTCTGCTCTCAAGGCTCGCTCTTGAGATGCTGGACTACAGTATCGAGCTAAATGGAAGCGGAGAGGTCTGGCAAAACGGTGTCCTTCTCAAGGGCGGAGCGCTCTGCACTCAGACCAACAATGAAGACAAATTCGCAAGAGATCTTGCATGAACTTCGTGCCCACTGGAAGCTGCCATTGCTGGAGGCTTGCCGGGTGAACGGGGTGACCGGGCTCCAGGCCCAGGTGCCTACGAGGTCCACGACAAGCCCCTTGGCCTCAGCCCGTGCCGGCCCACGCCGGCCCTATCGGTTTCGAGCTGAGGCCAAATCCCGACATGAAGACACAGAGCGTCTACTCCTTTGGGAGACCCAGCGCTCGCAGTCGCATGGCATCGGCCCCAGCTTCATTGCTGTCCCAGGCATCCTGCATAGACTGAGGATTTCCGTACAATGAAGATGCTGCAGAGTAGCTCTCTCTGGGGTATCAACTGATCCCCGGTTCCGGCTCCTGGAGTGTGCAGAGAATTGGCGCTGCATGCTGTAAAGAAAGAATGGGCACAGCATTAAAGTGCACAAGCACTGGCACGGTGTCAGTTACTCCGAAAGGTCTTGATCGGCTAGTCTTGGTCTAAAGCGTCTCACCATGCAGGGCCTGCAAAGCAGGCACGCTGTCTGTTCTAGGAGGTTTCAGATGCGATGCTGGGGTAAATCGAGCAAAGCAGGGCCTGAGCTCCTTTGCGGTTTTTGCATTCCATGCGACCAGGCCGGGCCTGTTCTTGCCAGTGCTCTTCGCTGTCAGAGTGCACCTCAGGGACTGTAACCCTTTTTCTGGAACGCGGCACTTCAGCTCAAGATCACAGAAGAAGCAGCTGAACAGGAAGCAATCAAACTGTTGTTGCATCAGCACTTCGCATAGGTGCGAAGCCTAAACAGGCTTGGAGCTACTGTAATTGGACGCGTCGTTGGACGAAAAGCTGACGCAAGAGCAGATGCGGCTGGTTCTGTTGAACGTTTTCAGACCCGAAGTTCAAACAAACATCTGCAAGAGCGAAGACCCTCTTTACATTGCCGTTTGGACCGCTGCCATGATGTGAGGCATGGCCCATGTCCAGGTGCGTCCGGCACTGTTGTCGGAGTTGACGTGGGGGGATGCATTGGACAAGAAGACTGTTCGCGATCGAAACTATCTAGCTACGGAGATCAATACCGATTGTCCGCAGCTTTGTGCAGGATACCGATCCTCTGCCAAGTTGTTGTTTGATAAGCTCCAGGTGCAATCAAGCAAAGGAGGTAGAGCATTAGGGAGTGCAGGCAAGTCATCTTCACCACTAGACCTCGTCAGTGGCGAGTTTTCGAGGGGCATTCCGTCAGAGACATGACCGTGAACGTTCGACGAAGGGGCCAATCGAGCCGGGCGCGCTCAAGTGCTAAAGCACCTATCCGAGACCGTCAACCAACTGTCAGGTTGTCTGGAAACCGTATTGAGAACAGGATAATGAGCGACTGGCTCGAATTTTGAGTCCAGGTATGTCCAGGTGCTTTGGTTTGCAGAAGCCGCTGCTTTGTAAAATGAACCCCACGAACCAGGACATACCAGGACAACCACAAAAATCAAAACGCAACATCAGGCAGAAAAAAAATATATATATATATATGGGTATCTCAACCTGCATTGCAAAAGAGGATGACAACGAGAGTGAGCTGCATCAGCTACGTCGTGAACCTGAGAATAGAAACAGGACGGCTTTCATGGCAATCGATGCTAGATGCCGCATCAGCCCTGAGTTCGAGAGTTGGAGGACAAGACTGCTGAGGCCGAGGATTGGCGCCCTCTCACTCTTCAGCTGATCAACGCGACGCATCCCATTGCACGCGGGCACGCTTCCAATCGTGCGGCCCGTCAAGCGCCACCTACGTCGTAAATAACCTGTAATCACAACATAGCGACAACAGGTAAAATGTGGCAAACCTCAAGTCTGGGGACCTGAGCACGCCGCTGAAGTGAGTCGTTCTTGTGTGGCACGTCGGCAGGCTTGCAGGGGAAAGCTGCTTCATTAGACCATGCAACGGGATGGACGGCTATGCAGTGTCATATATGGAGCCAATCTGTTGTCTCGCGTGCGGCTTCGAATCGAGCATCGGCAAGGGTCACAATATGAACACTCTGTCCTAGTATGTGTGGGTCTTGCCATCAGTCGAAGTGCCTGCCCTGTTCCTGTTGCTGTGCGCTGAGCTGGCTAATCTTCTTTGAAGGACGCGAGCTGGCTGCCGACACCTCAGCATAGCTGAAAGATAAAACTTCGCATTGCTGGTAATTTCGGCTTGCACAAGCTACGAGAATCTGAGAAGGCGGTTGCAAACTCACATTTCCGTCCTCGCCGCGGGGCATGTGTACCGGTGCAAGCTTGAGGCAGCGGTGCGGTGCGCCAGCACGCGCGGACTCTGTGCGACCCTGAAGCCCACGCTTGCCGTATTCCTTCGCATAAAAATCTCAGTCTGAGGCAGTGGCAGACCGCAGGCACGCCGCTGATCGAATGCTGCGAGTTTCACAAGCAGTTTCACATCAGGGAGTGGGGATACGCGGACATACTGGGCTACTCCTTTAAGAGGTGGGTGCAGCATCAGCTGGAAGAGAATCTGAAGGCCCTTTCGCAGAAACAGCTCGGCGGTGTGGGATGTGCAGCGCTGCACACCTAGACTTAGGCCATTCAGACCACTCTGGATCGACACCATGAGGCTGGATGCTCATTTTGTGTCAAAGCCTACAGTCGTGTAGCGACAGCAATGCGCAAGGCAATAGCTCAGCTCATCAGGCAGAGCCCGCCTGCTCCGTGCCTTGGATAAGAAACTCAGCATCTTCTGGTTCAATGCCATGTGTTGACTTGCCCGAAGGTCTGAGTTTCCCACAACGCTTGCAGCGCCTGCAGCCTCGGCGCTGCTTCCACCTGTGGGGCCAGTGGCACCACTTGCCAGACCTTCACAGAGCGGCGAGGGCCCGAATGTTCCGCTGTGATGAATCTGATTTCTGAAATCATACTCAAAGAGGCCTCGGCTCCGACAGCCGATCTTCTCCATCTTCTCCTGTATTCCGTGTGGTCTTGACCTCAGATCAGGCTTCAGCGACATCCGACAGCTATGGTCGTGTGACACTGCGATTCATAAAGATCCCGAGTTGATCTCATCTGCAAGGCTCCTGCGATATTAGAGGGTTCGCCTGGTAGCGAATTTTCAGATGCGCCGGGTGCCCAGCGAGATCATCACTGTCCTCTCGCTCTTGCCGAGGTTTGAATCAAATGGGTTGATTAAGTGACAACATGGCACATGCAGTGCAACAGTGGATGCTGGTCCGTGTTGGGAGGCCAGGACAAAACGTGGGGTCCCGAGTAGTGCCAGACTGCGAAATTGTCAGAACATGGTGCTTTCGCCCGAGAGTGCAGGGGATGAACACCGGAACTCGAGACTTGGAGGAGGCATCGGTCGAGCTCGTGAACTTCCTTTTCCTTGCTTGCGCGAGTATGTTGGTCTTGCCTTCTGCGTTAGTGGCCTTCGCGCAACTCTTTGCAGGAGCAGCTTGAGAAAGCTCATTTGCAGCAGCTGAAGCCTCTTGCCTCTCAAGTGAGTTTGTGCACTGGTTTCTCAGTTTCCAGTCTTAACGGCCAGTCTGAGGGCAACCCTTGCCCTGGCATTTCATCAGTTCACCCGCCTATTGTTCAGTGCAAAGACTTCTGTTCACGAGGAAAGCCAAGAAGCAGGCGCCGCAACTCAGAGTGCAACGCAGCAAAGTTTTCAGGAGCTGTGGCGCTGCATGAGGCTTACAAGCAGAAGGTTGGGAGGAGAGAAAAGTCCTCCGACAACAACGACGGCGAGGGAGTACCCATCGTCGACGACATTGTGAAGCCAGTACAGGATTCTTGGTTCATGTCCTCCCAGTGAGAATGACGGTGCAGAGAGGGTCGACATTTCTCATTGTGCATGGTCGCATGGGCGCAACGTTCATGGAACTGAGACCTTCCTGATATTTTGCCCCTCCGCGGATACCGCATGGCTTCATGTTCGACCGGCAACTCATGCCATACTTTCCCTTATTTCACGCCTGCACTGATGCGAGTGCTCACTTGCTCACTTCGACGACATCTCATCACCGCTTTCTGGTATCGCCAGATGCTCCTGGCATCTCTTGACCTGCCAGGAGTCCAGGAGGGCAAGTGCAGTGAGACTCAGAGATTTTGCAATGATCGATCACCGCCATCATGTACGCACCACGCCTGCCCATCGACCTCCTTGGAAGGACGGCAAAAGGCAATGGTGCTGGTAGCAGCAGGCTTCCTTGCGAAAGTTGGTCTTACGGGTACACAAAAAGTCAAAAAGCAAGTCCCACAAGCATGATGCCACGCTCAAACCATGATAATGTTCGCACCACCTGCACCATGATAATGTTCGCACCACCTGCATGAAAATCCGTTTGTTACGGCATCCCGGCCCAATCCATGACAAGAATCCATGCCAACAGTGCATCCGTTGGGTAGCTGTCCAAGCTGGCATGTCACCTTTGGTATAGGCTTTGGAAGGCGTGCCGAATCAGCGCATGGGCCAACAAGCAGCTAAGGACATGCCACATTTGAAGAGCAGTCGATTGAAGAAGATCCATGGTGCCCTCAAGAAGGCGAGAATGGAGTAGCGAGATGGATGTGCTGGACTTGTTGCATGCTGGCAGCCTGCATCAGACCCCTGTTCTTGTATGCATTTTTCCGAATCATTGAGGTAGACATTATGGAGGGCGCCGTTCTCAGCTGAAACAGCGGCACCAGAACGGGGCCTGTTACACAGCATCAAAAACAGGCGGTTGCACAGAATGCCCATTGGCTCATGTTCATGAGATGGCCTTGGTCGACAGATGCAGGTATGACCGAAAAGGCGAGGATGGTGGTGGCCACAGACGTTGACATTGTTTGTGATGCCCTTCCGACTTGTACTTTGCCAACCCTGTGTTCGTTCGTTCTTCGCTTTGCTCTCACTCCAAAATCCTTACGTTGATGGGACTGGTGAACTACCGAGATGACATTCTTCTCGTTCATCGAGAACGGCCCGCTGGATATGATCATGGGCACCATTGTCATCTCGAATGCTGCTGTCATGTTTGCTGCGACCTCAGACAGGAGACTGTAAAAGTTTTCTTGGATTCCAGGAGACAAGAAGTAGAGATACCTCGTTGGGACGGGAACGTTCCTGATTTGCGACAGTGCTTTGTGAACATGAGAAGACTTGAAAGCACCACCTGCAGCACAATTGTGCTGCCAGTTACAGGTCCAGTCTCAGTGGCTTGGTGCCCTGGCCTCTGTGTTGTCCTCGGCCAGCATTCACTCCAAAGACTCAGGGTAGAAGGCAAGGCTAGGTAAGGCATTTCCGCTTACAGCAGGACGCCCTTGGTCTCACCACTGGTGCGGCAGCGGCTTGGGGGGAAAACACAGGCGAGCTCTGCACCATAGTTGTCATTCAATTCTGCATGTCTGATGCGTTGGCCGTGGGAGGGAGCACCTTTGAGACGATCGAGACTGTGTCGCGCACCGAGTCTCGAAGCGAACTCCCCTGACAGTCTGTTTCTGAAGTGGTATGTCATGTGTCGCGATGCTCCATGCAGGTATATCGTGATTTACATGATCGAGCTTGTAATACGCATCCTGGTCCTGCGCCGGGGTCTCGGAGACAGGCTCGAGGAGCTGCTACTTCTACTTCTGCGACGACGGCTACTACTACTGCGACTACGAGTAGCAGTACTAGCTACCAGTGTTTGTGCAAGTACTTCTGCAACTACTACGACCGCGACGACGACCAGCTACGTCGACGACGACTATGACTATTGCTACTTGGACAACATGCTGGACAACTACCACCGCTACTGCTACTACTACGGATCCTCCTGCTGCTCCTCATCCTGCTGCTGCTGCTGCTGCTGCTCCGGCTACAACTGCTGCTGCTGCTGCTGCTCGGTTATTATTCCATCTACTGCTACTGCTACTTCTACTGCCACCGCCGCTGCCGCTACTGCTCCTGCTACTGGTACTTTAGGGGGTTTAGGGACTACTTCTCCTGCTTCTTCTGCTACTCACTGCTATCACTACGGCGTACCGCTACCCAGAACTACTCATTGCTACTTACGACTACTTGCTACTGCTACACTATATATTATGTACTAGCTACTACTGAGGTACTACTGTTACCACCCACATCTACGAGTAACTACTAGTCATTTCTACTAAGAGAGGGGCGGGGCGACTCACTGTTTCGTGAGGGGGCTGAAGGGCTGAGCCTCATCTGTTAGACCCTCTGGCGCCCTGTAGAGAGGGAGGGAGAGGGAGGGAGAGAGAGAGAGACCCATCGTCGACGACGCCCCGAACTAGGACAGTGTATTCATGGAAAATGTGTTATAGGCTTTGCAGCGCTGTTTCCTTGTGAGTTGCTGTTGACGAGCGGGGTACACAGTTAGAGAGCTTTCAGAGCCGAGTGGAAGGCCGCAGGTGACTGTGGGGATCAGGCTTCTGTTCGGGTTGAAGGCAGGCTTCAGGCAGGTCAGGGGGGACACGACAGTTAGAGCACCCGAACAGTCTTGGCATGATGCTACGTGGAGGCCTCTCTTGCACTAATGTTGATGATGCCCTCGGGTGCACCTGGCTACATAGCCTGCTCCCACGCGGGCACTCCGTTCTTCTCACGTACGTCGTTTAGTCCAACTGACCACAGTACAGCAGAGCCCTTTCTATCAACATGATGGAAGGGGATGCGCGGCGCGAGTCAGGAGGACTGCTCCTGGCTCTGACCCCAAGCATAGCAGAGAGAGAGAGCGAGAGGCTTAGTGGTCTCTGTAGCGAAAGCCGACGACAGACAGGGCGCATTCGTGCGCGAGGGTGGGGGCGGACGCGCCTGCCCTTTGGCTGTGTTGAAGAAGGCTTAGTGGTCGCCAGACAACGGCGCATCAAGCAGCACAGGCCCATTCCCCTCGCATAGCCACAACGACCTCCTCAGACAACCGCAAGTGATCAGAGACGCCGCAGCGCTCATACCCGGGGGAGACATGCTAACTTCCATGGTAGATGTGGCTGCTCAGCTTGTCCTAGCCGCGCCCGCGGGACATCCAACTCAGTTCGCTACAGGGGGCGACCCAACGACTGCAGCATGCCATCCACATGCTCATCAGTTGATCAGGCCTTACGGAGGCATTTAGAGTGGCACAAGGCAGAGTTTTGGGAGGAGATAGCAAATCTGGTGGCACCCGCCAACGCTCTCATCGAAAGAAGGGGATGCCTTTTGCCCCGAGAGCGACTTCCCTACAGTGCACCCAGCAAACTGCATCGGCCTGAACCACGGGGGGGAACAAGCTCTGGCGAGAACCAGATGCGAAAGCAGTGCTACCCCACTCCTGTGCGACGCCGCGGAAGATTTCACAACAGAGCCTCACAAAGGAGGAGATGCAGCAAACTTTTATCGTAACCGTCCTTCTCCTTCATGGTTTCGGGGGGATCTTTCACTTCGGAGAGCACGCTGTGCTGTAAAAACTCATTTGGGGGATAATCACCACTAGACAACATGTCCAGTGAGCTCTCGCGGCAAGGGGAGACAGCTGCAAACGGGGGGGACATGATGGACACAGTAGTTTCTGAGATTTTTTTGAGGAAACCCAATTGCAGCTGAAGTACTCCCGTTACAGCTCTTGCCGAGAGGGAAAGCCTTTTCAACTTACTTCGTACAGCCGAACCCTCCGTGGCAATAACCCGCGGAGAGGAAAAGTCGCCCGCGAACTGCGGGTGCGCGGTCGCGCGCGGAGCATAGGGTCGGACCGCCCTGTGCTCCCCACCTGGTACAGCAGAAAGAGGCTTACGTAGTTGTGTTTCCTTCGATGATTCTTCGGTGCACTGAAAGGGGGAACCCCTTAAATCGAGGAATCCTGTACCAATCTTGAGGGGATGGTGCCTGAGGATACGTTATTCGGCTATGTTGTTGGAAGCCCGGGAGAACTCTCTCCTTCACTCCTTTCACACCGAGCCAAGGGGTCAGCAAGGACCTGAGGCCCTTGGAAGACAAAGAGCCCGGCTGCGCGTGTTCGCGTGGGGGAGCGTGCTTACTGGTGCGTTCTCCTGAAGCCGACAGCAAGCAAGCAAGCAAGAGAGAATTCGTACTTACTGTGTCCATTGCTGTATGAGTACTTGTGTCTGAAGCCCGTAGACTGCCTTACAGCGGGGGGTGGCCTTACACACCCACAAGAAAGTCGCATTCAGGGATGCAATACTTTGGTTTCAGCTTTATGTTAGTGGAGGGGGAGGGGAGGGAGGCGAAAGGCGCTTCTCTGAGAGAAGACGCCCAATTCTTGACTTGTTTGAATAGTTAAGGCAGGACTGGAGCCTTTGCATTTTGTGCAAAGTCGAGCGTGCTTGACCATCCATTGTCGATTCTGCTCAGACGGCCAACTATTCCCATCACGGATTGGTGTGCATGGGAAGTTGCTCGCCACAACACGTCACAAGGACTTGGATGAACTGGCCCTCCTCAGGTTCTAATCATAGGTACTTTGGTCCAAAGCTTGCAGCATGCGAGCTGCATCTCAACGCTTGCAAAGGTAGTGCTTGGGCCTGGTCAGCCAGAGCCTCGGAGATGAGCCAAAAGCAGTTTCAAGACACTGCTAGCATCAACTCCTGAAGTCCCCCCGACAGAGCTATCCCTACATGCCGCAAGCTGGCCTTCGTATGGAGAAGGTGGTAAAAAAAGCCTGCAATTTACTTCCCGGGATGCTCGGCGCACGCATATTTGGGGCAGTTCTGGTATGCCAAGTTTGCTCAGGCAGAAGGTGGCATACAGTATGCAAACTTGATGGCCGAAAGCTCGGATCTTGTGTGTGACTCCTGCCTCGTGCCACCTTTCAATCTCGTGCGTTGCACCGATTTTCTGCTGCAAGAGGTCTTTCAGGAATCCATTCGAAGTTGAACAGTGCATGCAGTACTTGCGAGTAGGTACAGGTTCCGCTGGTGGCTTTACAGGAATGACTCTCGCTCCGACTTATTTCAACTTGCATTGTGCACCTAGGACGCGGTTATAACCACCATCAGTGCGGTATCCACGTTCCTTCTATCACAAAGTGACGCTTCGGTCTCAGCAGCGCGCATAACATACGAGATGGATTTGAACTCCTACTGTGATTTGGGAACTGTGGTCTTCTGCCGAGATGAACCTCTCCGTGGCTAGAGCCATACGCCTCCTACGACTAACACGAACCCTACGGGTGATGAGAGCCGCGGCCGCAGAGACTTACCACGATAAAGGTCTCTTGAGAGCGTTGCCCGGCTGCGCGAGGTAATGATTCTCTTTCGACCGCAGGGCCCTCAGACAAGAACGGTTGACGAATGTCGGACTGCTAACTAGGTCAGGCCAGCTCAGTCTTGAAGTCGGGTACTCGAGACGGCTGTGAGACTGCGATATACTGCGATGCTGTGGGTGAGGTTGCGGGTGCTGTCCGAGCCTCGGAGCTGTCACGTGGATGCGCCACACGCTGTCGAGATGATGGTCGGAACGCATAGACTGTACACTCGACATTTGGAGGGCTTCGACGTTCTTGGCAAGCATCGGTGCCCTTTTCTGGTCCATGATTCTGCTGATGATCCTGAAGTTCATAGGCCAGCAAGAGCCACGGAAACTTGCATGTTTCTGGCACACTTCGAAGATGCAGGCGGCCTTCTGCTCGCGCAGTCCTTGCACAGCCGGGGGCTTTCGTCAGCGGGAGTTTCTGCCACCAGTGCCTTCATAGAGCTCTTGGGCAATTTGCGATTGCCACTTAAGGCTTCATTTTGGACGAGCAAGAGGCCGAATCGCTCCAGAATCTGCCTCCGCGGGCCCCCATGACATGAAGCCGATGTGACTGTGGTGCGCGTGTGAAGGAGATGACCGACCGGGTGTGGATGTTCGAGTGCCGCGCCCAGTCCTGCCCAAGCATGTGGAAGGCGAAGCAGGTAGAGTAGACTCGGCAACCTTTTTCTCAAGCCTGCCTTCGCATGCCAAGTTACTACGGAAGCGCCTGGAAAGCAGTCTACTCCATGTGCGGGCCTTGACTGGCGAAATGAAATTCCGTGCATGCCTTCAGCAGAAGCATCGGCTGCTCGGCGTTGGAATTGCGATTGCTTCGCAACCCCTCCGCCGGTAATCCCACTGCGAGACTTGCGTGACGTGGGAGCAATGCCAGGTTTGAACTGACACACAGCGGTGGATGGCCGAACTATGCTAGGCCTGTCGTCGAAAAGGCCCGGAATGACATGGTGCGCTTGATGCCAGCTCTGTCGTGTCGCCAACATGAGCGCAATTACTGCCAAGATGCACTGTAGGTGAGTATCTGGTATGCTTGGTTCTTTATGCCTGCAGCTCAGACAAGTGAAAGCGGGCGCCACAAAAGCAGGCAAGAAGGATCGTAGTCTGCGCATCCTGTGTAAGGTCATATGTGACGCTCGTCACGGCCCTAGAGTGTACATGTCCATACATGCATCGACGCATGAACATGAAAAGTCACGAGCTTGAGCATACCTACGGGCCTTACCAAAAATTTTCCCAGCATCCTACCCGTGCCAAAACCTCATGCACCTGGACCCTCAGCAGGACATGCAGGGACCAATTGCCAAGCCCGGAAGCAAAAGCCCTCGTCATGCTCCACCGTACTTAACACGTCACGAAGGGTAGCCTCCGAGGGCGAGCATAGTTGCCTTTAGCTTTCCATCTAGTGACCCGTTCGAAAGCTTTTTTGTGCAAATCCAGAACGATTTGCAATGGTTTATTTCGGCTTTTGGGGGTTATATAGGGTTTCGAATTTGATCACACACATGTAGAGGTTGGAGGAGGTAGAACCGCCTGTTTTGCGAATCGGGCCGCGGTTTGACTTCCAACCTCTCTTTCCTGAAAACGTCTTGCAACTCCCCTTCAGTGACTGCAGCTTTGTTCTGCTGGCTTGCGTGACGGTTGTGGTTCGGTTCGCAACAAATCAGTCACAGGCTGTCGTGCACCATCGCAACAGGAGTCCAACTGTGTTCATCAATCACGGGCTAGTGGACGCTGCACCGCATGTCGAGCAAAGCTCTGTTGAGCGTGAAAGGATTGCGTGTCTCTTCGGCAGAAATCACGAAAGCTAGCCCCCGTGGAGCTAGCGGAGTATCTTACTAAGCGAAGCTTACAACCAGATAGGTATATAGGGAGGCTCCGCCACGAAAAGCAGCAAACCCCATAGGCTCACCAGCTCCCAACTCAGACATGGCTTGCCTCTCTGCAGAAGCGTAGGCTGTGTTGTCTAATCATAGCATGGGTGGGGTCCGGAAGTTCTGACTGACATGTTGTTGAAGCAGTGGCCTCAGTGACCTCAACGATGAACAGCTGTGCATGTGAGACAAGTTGATGAGTGGAGAGAAGAGAGAAGGGCCTCAGAACATCAGTGCAATGTCCAACTTTGCAGGGCTACGCCCAAAGGCAGGAAACAACAGGACCCACTCTCTCCTTGTGGTCGCCTGCTCTGCCTCTCTTTCGGATGCTTCAAGCGGAGTGCAAATCTTCCCCTCACCTAAGACAAGGGTTCTGAAAAACCCACTAACCCGCGCCCCCTGAGCCATGGCAGTCTGCACTCACCTTTGGCGAAGTCTGTGACCTGCTACCATTTTGAGGCAAGGGCTGGAGTCTGGCAGTGCCATATGTCCATCCCTTGTCTTCGAAAGTGCAGCCACAATAGACAAACAGGCAATGAAACATGCCAATCTTTCGCCTGAAAGGGAAGCTGGTTGGATCTTGCCGTAGCATGTTGGAACTGGAGCCGAGTGGATACCCACAGGAGTAAAGGGCACAGCAACTACACTGGGGTATCCATCAATGGTCTCTGGCAGCGGAAAGGAGGAGCTGGATACAGAATTCAATCTGCTGAATTCAATATCCTGTGTGACAAACAAGTGACAACTGGTGCCGGACAATGCCAGTGGGCCTGCATGACAAGATATTCGAGTGCATGCATGCTTGAATTCCTGACAGCATGACTGAGGCAGCAAGTGGGATCGTTCCGATTTGATGGAGCGAATTTGGCGATGTCCTGTAGACCTGAACTGGGCACAGCAAGACGTGAATTCCCCACTGCATGTGAATTGGTTGGAGAAGTACATCTTCAAGACGACCTCTTTTTCTGCATGAGAATTGGTTTGAGAAGCATACATTCAGGACGACCTTCCTCTGCATGGCTGGGATCGTACATTCGAGATGCCCCAGCAGAATTACTGAATTCCAGACTGCATGAGAATTTCCAGAAGTTTTTGCTTGGTGTCGAATTGGTGAGAGCAGCAGCCGCAACTTTCTGGTTACAGCAGGTGGAAGAGGTATAGAGAATGACCGACTGTTTTGAAACAGCAGTCTTAGAATGCTCTTGTCACGGGCGACTAATATGTGGCCATGACAAGGTTGTAAAGTGAACATGCTGGGCGGAGGCTGATGAGCTTGATATTGTCTAGTATCTTTTGTTTACTTTTGCCCATCTGCCCCTGTCTGTCAAGTTCAAGTAGCAAGCTGAGACGGAACCTGCCATGCCAGCGTGAGCGAGTGTGCGAGTCGAAACCCCATCTATTTGCGGGACCGAATCGCATTTTTTGGGGAAACGAGTTGGCGTTCATTTCATTTGTATTGTGGTGCAAATGAACACCGCTTTTTGGGTCCTCCAGGGGGTTCTAGGCGGGTCCCAGGGTGGGCCCAGGGCAGGTTTGCCGGAAGTGCTAGGGGTCTGCGGCTACTAATCGCAGAATGTCACTAGACGATGTGTATTTCCACCACAGTAATAGGGGTTAGGGTTCAGGGTTGAGGGGACTCCTCTGCAGCGTGTCATGTGCCTGCTCAGCTGCATGCCTTGGGTTGTGGGAAGTACCCCTTCGTCAGGGTACCTTAACTAGCTTTCGTCCCAGGCCCTCACCCCCAAGTTCGTGCAGCTGTTGAGCTTCGTTGGCTTCGTTTTGAGCCTTGAAATTGATTCCAGCACTGGGTCCTAAAAATGGACCCGCTTGGTTGGAAACTCTTAGGGAAGGCACCATTTCGGGCTTCGTTTTGGCGCCCGAAATTTGGAGCCCAGAATGGATCGCTAAACCTAGAAGCAATGCACCCACTTTTGTGATTTTTTGTGACGACATGCAAAGCGAGCCAAAATACGACCAAGAACCGCATGTCTTGGGACTTGGACTCTGTGCGTGAGAAACCTCGTTGCTGAAGACTTCAATTGCAAACTGAAGATTGCTGTTAGAAGTGTCAAATGCTGACAGACGTGTCAAGCTGGCTTGCAACAGCAGGGGAACTCTCATGTGGCCCCTGCTTCCGCTTTGTTTGTGGCCTTGAAAATACAGTTGATAGGTGATTGGTTCATTGTTAGGGCCGGCGGAAGGGTTGTTCTCGATCAAGCACAAGCCCGACCGGCAGAACGAGGAATCCATAAGTTTTGTGCAAGCTGGAAACTGGTCCGACCATGGCTGCTGCAGGTTATCTTCGCGATCATTAGAATCATCACTGCAATTTTCCTCAAGGCTCTTTGCAGCAAGCCCTGCACTACCCGCATGACATGAACAATATCGCGAGCTGGGAGGAAACTCTTGCAACAGCGGCTGGAGATGCTGCCCTTGCTGTACAGGAGAAAAATTTGACCTTGCCAGGCCTTAGCTCTGCTGCAGATGCCTCTCGTGCATAAGGAGAAAGTTCGGTCGAAGGAAAAGTACGTGAGCAGTTTGGAGGACTGTGTGCTTTGAAGCAGTAGATGCGAATGAAAAACTGAACTCTGTCGACCCGTGCAGCAGGATATCTTCCTTGAAGCAGACGATGATGGCAACGGAGTCTTGACCTGGGTGCACATGAAACGGCCAAAGCTGTCAATCGCAAGCCCTCGAAGTGAGCCAGTGAGCCATGATTTGCCGTCGAGGTCATCACCCGTGCAGAGATGGATGCAGCAGTGAGCAATCCAGCTCCTGGACTGCCAGCAGCATCACGGGATTGTGATCATCACGCGGCATCATCTCAAGTACCGGAGGTTGATTTGATATGCGGGCTACTAAATCTCCAATCAGTTAACCTACAGGAATGCTAGACTCTTTGAAGCATTCTGAATGTGAAGCACGTGTAAGAAAGAACCATTGCAGATAAGTCCGAACCATCAAGCTGAAGACATACACGGAGTAAGCCATTCGGGTGATCCTAGCTTGGTACCACATGGAAGGTTGTCTTGCACTACCTCAGCATCCTTGAGATCGAGGCGCACATATCTGATGGGATACAAGTTTGAGTTTTGCTTCACAGACTTCAATCCCGGTCGTCAAGAAGTGACGTGGGATGTCCATGCATGGTCAGCCGTCGGAGAGATCTGATGCAAGTCTTGGGAGTGCCTGTTCTTGATGTCCTTATGGAACAAGGTCCACGAAGTGGAACCTTTGTTCGATCTTTTGGACGACGGGGCGTGCGACTTACCGATCATGTCTATGTTGCTGATCTACTCACATCTGACTCTGTCACACAGACACACACACCCTCCCTCTCCGTCGCCTCTCACTCTCACTCTCTCTCTCGCGCTCTGTCTCTCGCTCTCTCTCTCTCTCTCTCTTTCTCTTTGTCTCTTTGTTTGTCTCTATGCCTGTTTGTCTGTCTGTCTGTCTGTCTGTCTGTCTGTCTTAGACTGTCTTAGACTGTCTCTGTGGCAAGCCCGGACGTCGTGAAGCCATGCCTGCCTTACACGAGTGTGTGAGTCGAAACTGTTTCTGTCATCCATGCCAGGGTACCAAACGTTCTGATAAACTCGCAGGAACCATCTGCAGTCAAGATCTGCCACACGCATCCGCACATGCGTAGAAAGCTGTCCGAACCTGAGGACGGGCAAGTGACCATAAAGGAGTTTTGTCAGGGAATCATGCGCCGGAGCCCCGGCCCTTTCAAGCGTGGCTCCATGCTACTGCGAAGAGATGTGGAGCTGTCAAGACAGGCTTGAAGGGTCAAGCGCGATCTCTGGATGTCATCTCGATCATGCATGTGCTCGGCCTCAGCTGGTGTTGCTATCGGATTCACCTTGAGCAACAGCGGGGTGACGACATGCTGCAGGATGCCAACATCATCATGACGCAGCTGCAGTCTCAGCTTGTCCTAGTCCTCATCATCGCGCCAGGTTTCCCTTTCTGTGTCCGTTCGCAGACGAGTGACCCGTTACCACACGTTCTTGGCAGGTTCTCTGCAATTTGTAAGCCCTGTATTCGACGGATTGAACATCCTTGAATGCAGCTCTTCTCACGGACGCCCATCCCGGCCCACCCCTACTGTGGAGAATGGTTTGCCATAAGCACCAGGTGAAACGCAACATTACTTCGTCAGGCAGTCTGAGTCACACAACCCCGCTTGGCCTTCCGGGCGTTTTGAGACGGGTCTGCTACGAAGTGCTGTGTGTCGCGATGCTGAGGTGCCGCGAAGTCAAGCGCAGCCTGTCGCACATCGAAGAAGTCCTGGGGGTGCGCCTTCGAAGCTATGTCCGGGTGTTCCGTGCCGCTGCGTTGCAGCATTTGCCATGGGCATATCTTGAGTGACAGAGGTCAGCAGCGGTGTCAACGATTCTCGACGGGACAAGCTCCGATCGCTGGTGGCCTGTCTGAGAGTCATCGTGGCAATGGTCAGAGGGCAAGAAAAACAAGCATAAGAAGAAGGACACGAAGGAGACGACTACTTGCAACGGCAGTAGCACCAGCAACTCACGGTCACGCCGTGACTGCTGCCACCACGACCCTGAACTGGAACCAGCAACAACGTCTCCATCATCCACTGTCTCCCCATCAGCTCCTCTACAAGATTTTCGTGAAACGTTGCGACCAGCAGGGCCACCTGTTTGGTCCTCATAATCTTCGCATCCGATCCGAGTCGTCTTAACAGGGAAGAGAAGAGAGGGAGAGGCAGTGCGAGAGAGGCAGTTTCTGTGCAGGGGCAACCCCCTAGATCTGCAGAAAGAGACAGAGAAGGACTTCGCAGTGGCTCCTGTTTTCGGTTTCTAAATGCCCTTGATGCATGGTGCAAAGTCAGTCCAGTTGGGGGGCATTCGCTTGCAGTGACAATTCAACCCGGAGCATGGAGGACTAGCCGGACTAGCCATGTGAAGTGCTTCGTGTTGCAAAGCACTGGATAGGTGTTTGTGAGTCGGGGCCCCTGTCGAAGCGTGGCAGCGACATGACAGCGCAGTGACCAGCAACAAGGGGTGGCTCTCGCAGGGTACTGAGGACTTGGCCATGGAGGGTGCGGGGAAACGAGCAAGACGAGACACTCAAAGGAGGGTTGAGCCGTCAGGAAGAGACCCCAAGGCCAAGTGAGAGCAGCGGTCGAAGGCGACAGCGAACTGATGCGACAACTGCCACGGGCGATGTACGAGTTGACATGAAATCCTGGCCCATGTAACAGTCATTGTGCTGAGCGAAGATTAAACGTGCGACCAAGGACAACACGACCTTGGCCAGTGATTTGAACAAGGAGGACGAACCGAACGGAGCTGCCTCTTGATTTTTCCCACGAGGTGATGGGGTGTTCGAGCACCCATCGCTCAGCTCTGCACCTTTGCAACCAGGGTGCGGAGGAGTTTTTGCACTGCCGCCACAAACATGCGAAACATATTTTGAACGATTGGTTGTTGGATCCGTGCAAGAACTCGTTCGACTACGTGCAACTTTCACCACCTTCAGCTGGGTGACATGCCCGTGCTGGTTTCACTCCGACCAAGCTCATAGTTTTCAGACTTTTCAGACTTGGCCGAGGATGTTGTAGATTGTAGGTGATGTTTACCATCCGTAGGATCTCGGAAGAAACTGTCATGATGCGGCCAGGTAGTAGCACGAAAAGCAGTTCACGTATGCCTGCTACCTTTTGACCCCACAAGCGTGGGTTCCCTGCGACATGAGGCCGCAAAATGAAGCGGGATTGGAAGCAATATCATGATTTTTTCTTCACTTTGCACTTGCCTGGTGTGCTGACATTTGACGCTGCCTGCTGTGCTGGGATAGGAGCCAAGTCAATCCAATGGCAACCGCGGCAGCCGATCTTTGGGCTACACGTCTCTGCGATTGGCATGAGCCACCAACCGCATCGAACAACAGCGATCTTGGACGTTGTCGTTGCCACGTTCGTTGGTTTTCATGTTTTGCGTTGTGCGACTCGACTCGGCGCCCAGGCCTAGGCTGTGATGTCATCTAATCAGAGTCAATAAATTCAGCGAAGAGCCCTGCGTCACGAGCCATGGCGACTGCTGCGCTGTGGGTGGCAAGCGGCCGTTGCCTCGGGCACCTCACATAATCTGGAGTTCTCTGGCTGACGGCCACCGGGGACCAGGTTGGCTGCCACCAGCTGCACGTGCAGTGGCACGAGACCCTGAATGCCCGCGCGACTCGGTATGAATATGCTGATGAGCTGCTGATGCATGGACGGTATATCTGAATATTGCCTACGACGGAATGCAGGACCTCAAAGGCGCGGTATGCGTTGCCGGCGCGTCTCGCTCTGTCAGGACCTTCGCTCTTGCATGTCATGCTTCCCAGCAATCGGTTCTAACCATTTGCCCCCGTGCCTGTGCTCAGACCTGTTTGCGATTGTTGGGGATCGAAGTAGCGAGACAGATGAGGACACTGTTGGGCACGCCATCGAGCAGCTCTGGTTGGATTCCCTGTGAACCAAAGTCATGCAATGCAAGCCTTCCGGAAGTTGATGCACGGATTGAGGCCTGCCATACGATCACTGGGCGAGGCTATTGGAGTTCCTTCGGGAACCTAAGTTTCACCGGTGTCTCTACTTACTCCACTGTCCCTAGACGCTCACTGACTGATTTGTTGTTGCCATCGCCTTGGAGCCTGGCTCGCCCACTGCAGGTGTCAAGAGTCAAGTTACAAGTTGCATGATCTGGGATGGTCGGAACACAGCTCATGCGCGAATTGACGATCAAGTCATACAAAGTCCAAAGTCACACGAGAGCCGGAAGTTGAGCTTTCTACTCGCTCAGCGCTTCCGTCGTGGCCTCGGCCAAGGCACGTGGCCGCTTCCATATAAACCAGAGGACTAAACTGATCTAAGTAGCTGGTGAGTGACGCCTCGCAGCGAGTAGATCAAGCTCCAGGTTTTTGTGAGACTTCCCAAGCATGTTCCGGAGCCAACGTCACGAAGCCCACTCGCAAACCGAACAGGGAAGTCTCTTGTGCGAGGTTTCTCGACTGATGGCCGGCCTCATGGATCGCGAAATGGTGCGCAGCCGAAGCCGAGATAAAAAAGGGGCAGGCACAGAATGGTGCAGATTGAGATTCTGTGTGTTTGAGACAATTTCATGAAGGGCTGCTCGCATGTCGACATCAAGACCCGAAAGATTAGAAGGATGCCCGCGAAATCTGTGGCTTGGCAGTTGGTGGCATGCGCGGCTGGAGCGACAGCGATTCAGACGATGGCAAATACCAGCTCAAGGCTTGCTGCTTGCGTGTATGGAGCGAGTTACATGCATGCTTTGCAAATCGGTCTGCTGGCTCCCATTTCATTGTTCACCTCGCACTTGTTGCATATGTTTGCGCCAACATAAGATGGGGGTCGCACGATCAGCAGCCAGAATCGTTGATTGCACGTTTGCGTGCATTCTGGGGATGGCACTCACAGGAATCGATGCTGGAAATGTTTAGAGCTCGTCGTCTCTTCTTGCCACAGTGAAGGGACTGATGTGCGGAGCAGTCGTTGACTATGGAGCCCTGCGACTGCCGCACGATGCAGAGGGATAGTGCTTACGGCCCACGCTGTAGCGCCCAGGCCACGAGCCTTTTGCTTATTGCTACGAGTTTGGCTCGAAGAGCATCTTGGGCATTCAATTCAATTCAACCTCCAAACTTGCATTACCCAACCAGTGCAATCAACGCTGCAAGTCGATTAGGGTGCAGAATGTTGCAGACATCCAGAGTACGTGGGAGGGTGCTTGCTTCGAGGGTCAGTGTCCTGGAAGCCAAGTCTGCGCTGTGTCAGAAGTTGGTGCAGATTGAACGAGCCATTTGCGGTGGCTCGGAAGGCTTGAGAAAACCTAATGGGAACTCTTGATTGACAACCCCCCCCCCCCCCCCCCCC